GCTCAGCACCCCCAAGCTCCACACGCTCAGGCTCAGCACCCCCAGGCTCCGCACCCTCAGACTCAGCAACCCCAGGCACAGCACCCCCAGGCCCCGCATCCGCAGGCTCAGCACCCCTAGTAGCACCAGAGTCGACGGCTACCTCGACAGGCTCGACAGGGTCTACCTGGGACACACCTGAGGGGGCAGGACCCTGAGGGGGGAGGGGGTCTACCAGAGGAGCACCTGGTGCTAGGAAGAGGGGCGGGGGGGGGAGTGAGGCAGTGCGGTAGGGAAAGAGATGGTAGTAGGATACCAACTCGTCAAACGTGACGTCCTGAGAGGACAGAACACGACACGAGGTGGGGTGGTAAAACTGCCACCCAGGTGCGTCAGGGGGGAAGCCAAGGAAGACACAGGGAACGGCACGAGAGGACAACTTGTCCGCAGAAGTATCGCGGACAAAAGCTCGAGATCCCCAGACACGGAACACATACGCATCGCCAACCTTCCCCGTCCACCGCAGAGTAGGTGTGGTCTCCGGCAAGGAGACACGAGGCTGAAGGTTGATCTGATGCGCAGCGTACTGAACTGCGAACAGCCACAGAAAATGGGGAGCAACCGCATGGATCATGGACGTACGAGCGACGTCCATGACCATGCCAATGCGGCGCTCAGCAATCCCATTTTGCTGTAGGGAGGCCGGAAGCGTGAACGTCTGGCGGATGCCCTCCGCACGACAGAAAGCCCTCAGAAGGTCGGAGGAGAACTCACCACCTCTGTCTGAGTGCAGACGCAGAACAGGAAGGTCCGAGCCGAAACTCTCGCTGAGCTGGCGACGGGCACCGCGGATCCAGTCGATCAACACCTCAGTGACCTCACCCTTGCGGCGCAAGGGGAAGACTGTGGTGTAACGCGAGTAGTCGTCAACGACCAGCAGGAAGTAACGCCCGTGACCCTGTCCACTGACGCAGACTGGGCCCCACACGTCCATGTGGAGAGTCTGCAGGGGAGCCTCTGTCGAAGGGAACTCGGAGGAGTGAGGAGCGGCACGCTGCCGGCCCTCGACACAAGGAACACAGGTAGGGGCAGGCCCCGGAGGAAGGGGAGGGAGGGACTTGGGGAGACCAGAGACAAGGGTACGGGAGGCCATACCTCGAAGACGAGGCAGGGAGGGGTGACCAAGGCGGTGGTGCCAAAGGAGAGTATCGTGTGACAGAGGACGACACGAGCAGGGGGCAAACGCAGGACTAGACCTGGACGCGGCAGCAAACATCTGACCAGACGCGGCTACCTGACCAGGCGCAGTAACCGGAGGAGACGCAGTAGTCAGTGTGTACAGACTCGACCCAGGTCGACGGATGAACGTGGCCAGGTGGCGGCCCGTCCGAGAGCAAGTGCAGTGGGTCACACGCTGACCTCCAGGGGTGAACTGGTCAACCCACAAGTCCTGAAGGTCAGCTCCACTCACCAAGTTCGTAGAGAACGAGGGGAGGTGGAGTCCCGACAGCAAGCCCGACGGGGCCGCAGGACACGGTAGAACCGTGGAAGAGTGCGCAAGGACTGGGCCCCCAGAGGGGTCAGCCAGGGAGACTGCGACAGGCCGACTGAGCGGCGTGAGTGTGGTGCTGTCGCGAAAGAAGGAGCGCGAAGCACCAGACTCAAGTGTGAAAGTGTGCAAGGCCTCAGTAGGTGCAGTACCAGAGAGAGCAGACTCACCAGCACCTGGAGCAGCAGACTCACTAGTACCTGGAGCAGCAGACTCACTAGTACCTGGAGCAGCAGACGCACTAGCACCTAGAGCAGCAGCCTCAATGCCTGGGTCGGGCGGAACATACAGGTAACAGTCACCCTCAGCACTGTCAGTCACAGCATACATGGCAGCAAGGATAGCATCGAAACCAAGATCAAAGATAGCAACATTCTGATTAAGCAGATCACCCCAGCGAGGGAGCTCAACAGTGTCAGGAAACTGGGCGCACCAGGCATCAGTCAGGCGACCGAAGCAGCGCTGCGCAGTGTGTGGCAGCCCGCACGTCTCCCCACGGCGCCCGCCGGTGCGAAGAACGTAAGTGCAGGGACCAGCACCCCCAGACCTCCCACGCCCAGCGTACCACTCACGAAGCTGCTGGGCCGACGGGGTCTCACGGGAACGCGGCTGCTGCTGGCGCTGGCTACCACCAAAGCCTCCACGCTGCACGGCTCCACCTCGACCAGCTCCACCGCCGCCGCCACCTCCACCACCGATGCCGCTGCCTCCACCGCCGCTGCCGCTGCCTCCACCACCCCCACCGCCGCCACCGAAGCCCCCACTCCCGCCACCACCCCCACCTCCACCGCCACCCCCTCCGCCTCCCCCACCGCCTCCACCGCCGCCCCCACCGTCCCCTCCACCACCCTTGCCCCCCTTGCCCCTGCTGTTGCGGCGCCTCCCACTAGGAGCAGACGCAGCCCCGACCTCCGCGCCAACGAGGTCGACAGCAGCAGCAGAAGCAACAGAGGGGAGTAGGGGGACAGGGGAACACCCCTCAAAGAAAGGGGCGCGAGGGTCGCCGCGAGAAGCACCTACAGCAACGATACTCTTCTCAGCTGCAGTGAGGCGCTCCTCTAGTAGGTCGACGGTGAGCTCGGTGGGGCAAAGGGAGAGAAAGTGGTCCCTGACTGAAGCAAGGGAGTCAGGGAGGCGGGTGACTAGGTAGTAAAGGGTGATGTACATGGGGGGGGGTTTCTTGGCACAGAACTCAGTGGGAAGCGCAGAGCGGTAGCGGGCGTCACTGAGTAATGAGGTCAGCGACTGTGGCAAAGGTGGCAAGGTCAGGGAACAGGTACGGCAGCATGAGGCGGCTGAGGGCAGCAGTGGCAGGGGAGGAGTAGCGCGCTACTACAGCGTCATACAAAGACTTAGCAGTCTTGTGCTGGCCAAAGTGCGCGCGCTCAGAAGACGGCAGGTGACTACGAACAGCAAGGCGAGCAACAGCGTCACGAGTGGTCCACTGCGAGCGAACCGTACTGTCAGCAGTGGTAGCAGGTGCAGGAGAGACACCGGACGTATGATCGAAAAGGGATACTCCGTCCTTCGAATCACACTGAAGAAAGAGCTGCAGGTCGTCAACCCACACGTCAAAGTCAACCGCACGCCCCTCAGCATCAAAGGTAAGAACAATAGGGCTAGCCATAGCGGCAGTAGCAGCAGTAGCAGCAGTAGCAGCAGTGGCAGCAGAAACAGCAGTAGCGGCAGGAGCAGCGCGGGCAGGGCAGTGCGGCTCAGTAGGGTGGCGCGGCGCGGCAGGGCGGCGCGGCTCGGAGGAGCGGCGCGGCTCGGCTGGGCGGCGCGGGTGCTTACCAGGGGCGGGTGCAGAGCAGGGCCGCAGCTGGCGGTTACGTCAGGGCCGCGACTGGGGCGGCAGCAGGGCAGGGCCGCTTCTTGGCGGCGGTAGAGCAGTGCCGCGACTGGGGCGGCTGAAGGGCAGGGCCGCGACGCGTCGGCGGCAGCGCAGGGCCGCGACAGGGCGGCAGCATGGCAGGGCCGCAGCTGGACGGCAGGGTAGGGCAGGGCCGCGACGAGCAGCGGCAGGGCAGAGGCCGCGGAGGGCGGCAAGGTAGGGCCGCGGGTGGCGGCAGGGCAGGGCCGCGACGGGCCGAGAAGGCAGGGGGTCGCGACGGGCAGCGGCAGGGCAGAGGCCGCGGGTGGCGGCAGGGCAGGGCCGCGACAGGCCGAGAAGGCAGGGGGCTGCTACGGGCCGAGAAGGCAGGGGGCCGCGACGGGCCGTTAGGGCAGGGCCGCGACGGGCCGTTAGGGCAGGGCCGCGACGGGCCGAGAAGGCAGGGCCGCGACGGGCGGCTCTAGGGCAGGGCGCGCGACGGCGCAGATGAGGCAGGCGCGAGGCGCGCTTCGGGCAGGCAGGAAAAAAAAAAATGATCGTGGTGGGCCCTAAAAAAAACGTTCCCACGAGGGAACCTGCTCATAATACCATGTCAGAATAGTGAAGGAAGGAATGACTAAACTAGCAAGCAGGTGGGTACAAGTAAGAAACCTAAAAGTGTTGTACCCTGTATGAACTACCCCACTACAGCCTAGACATACTATAGCATATATGTTTGACAGTTTCTTGTTTTTTTTTTTGGAAGATTAGTTTTCTCTGATTTGCCAGGGTTTTGATTTTAGCTGCTCTGATAGACCAGTGTAAATTTCTGGCGAATGCATTTTTCTCTGTACAGGGTACATGCATTTCGACCGAGCCCCCCCCTCCCCCCCCCCTCAATTGGTGGAAAATGGCGAGCAGACAAAAATATGTATATATAAAATGCGTCTTCTGTGCAGTGAGCGGATAGCATAACGATAAATGTTTTGTTGGAGCGCGGAAGGCGTGGGTTGAATACTTGAAAGGTGTCACGAGTGCAATTGAGCGAGCGAGCGAGAATTGCACTATCGAAGCAAAACAATACAATGAGTGAAGGCATGTGCGAAGAATATGTAGCGAACTTGAGTGGTAACGGTTACGCGAGGAATCGGGGTGCGCTACGGGCCTAGCGCCGAGGTTGGGGTATGTTGAGGCGGAGGTCCGGCGTGCGGGTTACCAACCGAACCGTAAGGTTGGGTCGTGTCGTGAACAGTGGCGGGAGTTGTAGTCGAGGCGAGTGTCGCGAGCGGGTTACGTTTCACTGTTTGGGTGCCGATGGCGGGAATGGTCTAGTACGCGGTAAGCAAGGGCGCGAAGTAAGGAAAAGGAATTTTCCTTACAAAAGGACACTCAGAGTTGGAAATATATGTACACTAACTGTCCAGAGTACTTATTTTCAGAAGTTAAGTTTTCTCTGACAAATCAGAGTAACGCTCATGATCAACCCTGATTTTCGGAATTCCCGAAAAAACAACTCTGAAAATCCAGGTAGTGAAAAAAAAAAAAAAAAAAAAAAACCCTGCCCAAGATACTGCTGACCAACTCATTTGAGAAAGCTATCAATAAACACCAACTACCAATCCACATACAACTTGAGACTGAACTGGTCGTATTTGTGTTTCAGGGGAACATGGGCTGCTGCATGAGACCTTCGGTCTCAGGAAGTCCGAGCATGATGTTGAGATTCTGAAGAGCCTGGCCGGATGCACCCTTCACCAGATTGTCAATCTGCACAGCAATCAGAATGGAGACTCATTATTTGTGAAACTTGCAAGCACGAAAATTTATGTGCAGCTTCATTATGGTGTTTGTAACGTCAATGTGATGTCATAGTAAACACCATAGATTATATCAGCAAACGAGACGTACCACAGAGGTGATGATTGCGCGGCCAGGAATGCGGTCCGGGAAGACATTGACGAGGCAGTAGTTGGAGCCCCTCACATGGCGTGTGTGCGGCACAATCCCCTTGGGCAACACCACCACAAACTCCTCATCCTGGATCGTCCATCATGCAGCGAACAAGGACAAGAACAAGGACAAGGACAAGGACAAGGACAAGGACAAGGACAAGGACAAGGACAAGGACAAGGACAAGGACAAGGACAAGGACAAGGACAAGGACAAGGACAAGGACAAGGACAAGGACAAGGACAAGGACAAGGACAAGGACAAGGACAAGGACAAGGACAAGGACAAGGACAAGGACAAGGACAAGGACAAGGACAAGGACAAGGACAAGGACAAGGACAAGGACAAGGACAAGGACAAGGACAAGGACAAGGACAAGGACAAGGACAAGGACAAGGACAAGGACAAGGACAAGGACAAGGACAAGGACAAGGACAAGGACAAGGACAAGGACAAGGACAAGGACAAGGACAAGGACAAGGACAAGGACAAGGACAAGGACAAGGACAAGGACAAGGACAAGGACAAGGACAAGGACAAGGACAAGGACAAGGACAAGGACAAGGACAAGGACAAGGACAAGGACAAGGACAAGGACAAGGACAAGGACAAGGACAAGGACAAGGACAAGGACAAGGACAAGGACAAGGACAAGGACAAGGACAAGGACAAGGACAAGGACAAGGACAAGGACAAGGACAAGGACAAGGACAAGGACAAGGACAAGGACAAGGACAAGGACAAGGACAAGGACAAGGACAAGGACAAGGACAAGGACAAGGACAAGGACAAGGACAAGGACAAGGACAAGGACAAGGACAAGGACAAGGACAAGGACAAGGACAAGGACAAGGACAAGGACAAGGACAAGGACAAGGACAAGGACAAGGACAAGGACAAGGACAAGGACAAGGACAAGGACAAGGACAAGGACAAGGACAAGGACAAGGACAAGGACAAGGACAAGGACAAGGACAAGGACAAGGACAAGGACAAGGACAAGGACAAGGACAAGGACAAGGACAAGGACAAGGACAAGGACAAGGACAAGGACAAGGACAAGGACAAGGACAAGGACAAGGACAAGGACAAGGACAAGGACAAGGACAAGGACAAGGACAAGGACAAGGACAAGGACAAGGACAAGGACAAGGACAAGGACAAGGACAAGGACAAGGACAAGGACAAGGACAAGGACAAGGACAAGGACAAGGACAAGGACAAGGACAAGGACAAGGACAAGGACAAGGACAAGGACAAGGACAAGGGACAAGGACAAGGACAAGGACAAGGACAAGGACAAGGACAAGGACAAGGACAAGGACAAGGACAAGGACAAGGACAAGGACAAGGACAAGGACAAGGACAAGGACCAAGGACAAGGACAAGGACAAGGACAAGGACAAGGACAAGGACAAGGACAAGGACCAAGGAAAAGGACAAGGACAAGGACAAGGACAAGGACAAGGACAAGGACAAGGACAAGGACAAGGACAAGGACAAGGACAAGGACAAGGACAAGGACAAGGACAAGGACAAGGACAAGGACAAGGACAAGGACAAGGACAAGGACAAGGACAAGGACAAGGACAAGGACAAGGACAAGGACAAGGACAAGGACAAGGACAAGGACAAGGACAAGGACAAGGACAAGGACAAGGACAAGGACAAGGACAAGGACAAGGACAAGGACAAGGACAAGGACAAGGACAAGGACAAGGACAAGGACAAGGACAAGGACAAGGACAAGGACAAGGACAAGGACAAGGAGGATTTGCATGGTTGTAGGGATCATTACTCCATGTCCGCAAGGCAAGCTAGGACAAGTGGCAATGGATGGGAGAAATTTCGAACACATGGTAGTAGGCATCAGAAAGAAATCAGATTGTAGATCGTTGTGAAATGCAGAAAAGTACATTCAGATGTGGACAGCAGATGCTGAACATACATGGTTGATTGAGAGCATGCTGAATGGCAGGGAGATCACCTGGAATCTGTTGATCAGGTGTTCCCTCAGGTCGTCCACTGTTGTCCAGGTGTTATAGATGCAGCATGCCACATGAGGAAACTCACCTGGTATCTGCTGATCAGGTGTTCTCTCAGGTCGTCCACTGTTGTCCCAGGTGCCATCTGAACGTAGATGGTTGACAGCATGCCACGTGCCTGGGAGCGAACAAAGGATCGAGTGTGTGGGGAGGGGGAGGTGGTAGGGAAAGAAGGGTGGAGGCGAGGGAGAAAACGAAGTGAGGGGTTTGCAACAGGAAGGGTGGCTGGGATGAGGATGGAAAGGAGAGAGAGAGAGAGAGCTGAATGCAGTGTAGAAGAGGGTTGACATAATGCCATGAGGGTGTTTCTTTGATGTGCTTCAGAACATAGCAATTAGAGTGGATCAGGAAGCAGTGAAAGAGAGGGTTGTCACAGAAGTGTTGTCAGACTAAGGTTGGAAAATTAGGGTTGCCCATGAAGAGATCGTAGTATGTGCAGAAGTTCTTAGCAAATGCCTGAATTATCACAATGGGCATGAGTCATCATTACCATGGGCATGAGGTGGGGAGTGAAGCTGACAGTCACATCCGCTCCCCCAGCAAACTCTTTCAGACCCTGCTCAATCTCAGGCACTGCAAGGCAAGCGGGAGGACAAATGAATGAGGATGGTTCAATGTAAGGCACTCAGTTCCTTTTTCCTGACAGTCACATCCGCTCCGTCCCCCCCGCAAACTCCTTAAATCCCTGCTCAATCCCCAGCACTGCCAGGAAAGGGGGGAGGATGAAGAATGAAGGCTCCTCAAAGGTGGCCAAAACAGTCGCAGCAACCCCCCAGCAACCACTTTCAAGCCCTGCGCACTCTTAGAAACTGTCAGGTGTGACAAAACTATTGTTTGCTGCTGACGTGAAGCCTACCGTGCCTGTGCATGGTTGGTAACTCCATAGGAATAGATGCCTTCTGCCATCTCTGTGCAAGGTTTTGCTTGTGTCGAAACTGAGTGTGGTACAAAGCCTATTGTGTCATAGGGGTGAATGCCCTCCGCCACCTCTGTGTACCGGTTCGCCTCCTTGGCTTCCAACCTAGTGCATAGTGCGCAGAGCAGACACGTGTGCTGTGAGAGCGGTACAAAGCCTACCGTGCCTGTTGTTCGTAACTCCATAGGGATAAATGCTCTCCGCCACCTCTGTGTACAGGTTCGCCTCATTAGCTCCGCATCAATGTAACACGGTAACCATGAAACATACCATGCCTGTGGTTGGTCACTCCGTAGGGGTGAATACCCCCCGCCACCTCTGTGTAGAGGTTCGCCTCCTTGGCTTCACATCGGGTATCCAGCACACTGAACTGAAACACTGTATACCTGTACCACAATGTGTTGTGAAGCGAGACCTACCGTGCCTGTGGTTGGTGACGCCGTAGGGGTGAATGCCCTCGGCCACTTCAGTGTACAGGTTCGCCTCCTTGGCTCCGCGCCCTGCTCCGCTCACTCCCGACTTGGCATCAATGATGATTCCGTCTGGCAGGATGAGCTTGGACTGTCAAGAAAAGGCCGGGAGAGGGACACCAAAGGGGAACGGGAGGAGGGAGGGATTCAGTCATGATGGTCTCTTTGGCTCCGCGCCCTGCTCCGCTCACTTCTGACTTGGCGACGATAAACGATAATTATCGTCGCCAAGTCAGCATTCCCCCTTGGTGTCCCTCTCCCTCCTGCCCTCCCACAGTCCAACCTCATCCGTCTGGCAGGATGAGCCTGGACTGTGGGAGGGCAGGAGGGAGAGGGACACCAAGGGAGAATGGAGGTGCGAGGGTGTCAGTGATGTGGGTGGTAACCGTACGGGTGGCAGCAAGGCAATCAATAGGCATGAGGCGGTATCAGGCAGGAGGAAACAAGTGGTACTGTACCTGAAGAAGCGGGATAAGCGGGAGCTGGACGGATGTGGGATAGCATCCGGGATTGGCAACCTGGAAGGAAGAGGGGGGCCAGAGAAGGAATGGTGAGAATGGAGAGACGAAACGCAGAATGGAGAGGACGAAGGAATGCAATGTTTTCTAGCATTGACTCACCAGGCGAGCAGCCTTCACTGCATCCCTGTAGATCTCAGTCAATCCATACACTGCCTCTTCCTGGCGAGAGGAGACACACACAAGCAACGCATGCTCACACACACACACACACACACACACACACACACACACAAGCGACGCAGGCACACACACACACACGCAAACACACACACAAACACACACACGTGCACACACACACAAACACACACACGTTCACACAAACACACACACACACACACACACACATACACACACACACACACACACACACACACAGGTTCAGATGTTATTCATATATATAGAGAAAACAGGTGCTGCACATGCGGAGGCGTGATGATTATTGGCCTGTTTGGGCACTGGTGGCTGGTCTGCCCTTGTTGAAAAGTTGAAAACCAGCCCCCCTTGCAGCTTCGGCGCCCTGAGTTCCCCACCATACCCTTCAGATACTCGTCCATTTCCGCCCCTCGTTCTGAGAGGACTCCAGATTGTTTAATTAACAGCCCGCCCTTTTCACCTGCAGCTCGGGCGCCCTATGTTCATGCCACTGTTCATAGTCGTGCATACTAGTTCACTTCCAGTCTGAGAATTCTCTCAAGTGATGCAATCAAATACAGCTCCGCCCCCCTCACCTGCAGCTTGGGCGCCCTGTGCTCGCCCCCGTAGCATTACGCATACTCGTTCACATCCCACTAAGAATTTTCCTCGAAGCGACTCAACTACAATCCCCCCTTCCTCACCTGCAGCTTGGGCGCCCTGTGCTCGCCCCCGTACCATTACGCATACTCGTTCACATCCCATTCAGAAATTTGCTCGAAGCGACTCAACTACAATCCCCCCTCCCTCACCTGCAGCTTGGGCGCCCTGTGCTCGCCCCCGTACCACTGCGCATACTCGTTCACGTCCCTCAGCCGGAAATCCTGCAGAGCAGAGATAGCCACGTGGCACCAGGGGGTAGAGGCACATGTAGAGAGCCGTGGCTGAGTGTCATGATAACGCGAGATTGCCGCGAGAGGCAGCATATGAATCATCTAGACCAGGAAAGAGGGGCTGCAACGAGACATACAGAATAAAAAAGGCTTGTTAATAGCGAGTTTATGATGTTTCTGGAATCATCACTTACAGCAGACAGATCCACAATCTTCAGGTGCTCGGGCAGCGCTGCGATGATTTCCTGCCAACATAAAAAAGGGACTCATGAAGGAATAAGGTGAAGGGAACTAACGTAGCAAATAGAGAGAGCAGACGGGAGAATGGCACTGTTTTCAGGCCCTTCATGGATTGAAGGCTGGATGGTTCCATTCCCAAAGTCTTGACTTCCACAGATTTACTTTATCATGAAAAGTACAAGGGAAACCAAACATAGTTGCATGCTCGATTCGGCCCAGCTGAACCTTGAATCCGGCAGCGACAACAGAATCACCTCGGGGGTAATTGGTACTCTGAGCGGCTGCTTGTGACCCACCTGAATCGCCATCTCAAGCCACCTGGTTGGGCACCTGAGACTCACCTGAGTGGTGCCGTGGGGCAGGCAGCAAAAGACGGCGTCCACCTGGGAGAAATCCGCATCTTTCACGGCGACCATGTTGGGGAGATCCACCTGGAGGCAGGGAGGCATGGAGGCATGGAGGCAGGGAGGGGAAGAAGGATGGAAGTGAGGAAGTAGATATGGCACACGAGCAACACGAAGTGTGCCACACGAGGCACATAAAAGTCTACACAGGGAAGCGGGGTGGGAGGGGGGGGGGGTCGGGGGGTGTAAAGAGGGAGGGTAAGAGGAAGCAGGAAGAGGATTTTGAGTGTGGAAAGACATGCACTGAACAATATTAGTTGGCAAGGCAGTCGTACTTCCACCAGGCACGGGTCTGAACAGTATTTTGAGTTTTCACATTGTTCTTTCTTGCCAACGGGTCTGGCACAATCCAGCAGGAAAACCTTCCTCGCCACCCTTGAGAACATTCCAGAGCACAAAGCCTCGGTAGATTCTCACGAACGTGGAAGAATCTTTCGCATGCAAAAGAAGCTGCTCTCAAAATTATTAAGACCTTACATAACAAATAAATGTTATTTTGTGATATTGTACCTGGGAGATGAGGTGAGGGAAGACGGACGAGAGCGGCAGCCCGGCCTTGCGATCTGCCGTCATGACAGTGACTTGCAGCGACGGATGCACGGCCAGCAGACGAACGATCTGGGGGATAAATGCACGAGGGGAACAGAGGGACGGAGAAAACGAGGGATCGGATTGTGATCAGCCGTCGTCGTGAGAGTGACTTGCAGCCAGGGATGCACGGCCAGCAGACGAACGATCTGGCAGGAAGGGGAGTAAGGAAACAGAGGAACAGAAGAGCAGCCAGCAATGTGATCTGAGAGGACAGATTCGCAACGTCAGGTGAAGTATGAGTGGCATTTGAAGCAGAAGCAATCTTGAAGGGAACTGTGGAGGTGGCGTAGCCGCCGCAACGCATTGAGCGAATTTCGATGCTACCAGAACAGAAGTAATTGCAGACAACTCACAAACTTACCCTTGAATTTTCAATATGCAGGCAATTTTGAGGCATCTAAAAGCCCGTCAATGCAGACGGCTATGGTTCGCCTCAGACAGCGAGTGGAGAGTTATCCGCTTGCTGAGAAGTCCTCGTAATCATGCCTCAAGAATATCTGAGAGATTGACGAGCATCAATAATTGTGTGATTACGACGTGAACGCTCACCTCTGCGCCAGTGTACCCGCTCGCTCCGAGAACTCCGACTCGCGCGACGTCGCCCTTCTTCGCAGACGCCTTCTGTGCGACAGCTGCCGGTGCTGCCGTTGCCTCAATCACCGTCGTCGGCCGTCGCAGCTGCTTAGGCGACGCGTTCGACGCGAGCGACGGGAGCTTCTGACCGCTGAGCTGATTCGCAGCGAAGCCGACGCATGATGCGGACTGAAATGAATAAATGAATGAAAGTTAAGAATATTATAAGAATGTGTAATTTTCTCCGTCGACAGTAACATTATGGAGTATCTAACAAGGAAATTGCAGAAATATTTTAAAAAGTACCTGAAGAAGGGCTGCCATGGAGATCGACGAAGGAGCTGAACGGAAAGATAACACGGGACAGAGAATAAGCCTTCCTCGAAACGCACAGGAATCGGAAAGCAGCTAGTTGATGAGAGGCGAACGATTATGAAGCAATAGCTTCACCTCAGATTATTGCTGCGAACAAAACACCAGTTTCAGTTAGGAGATTCCTGAGTACGTGATGATCCCTAGGCTCTGTATAATCTCCTGGCTGAAACTTTTGCTGGTGCTGTCAGAGAATTCCAATAATCCCGAAATCTCGAGCTCCCTGGTTACTCCAAACTTCCGTTTCGCAAAACTGATTTTCCTGAGCCCATTCGAGACAGGTTGCCGGGTTACAGGACCGGCTGAAACGGGGCAGCTGCGACTTTTGCGATCGTAATCTCCTCGCATACACCCAGCCAAAAGTGCATTTGGCTGCGCCTCAGACGGTTTTATTGGCCAATGGGCACCCTCGAATGGCCAATATGACGTTCTCCCCCAACCCCGAGCTCCTGCTGACGCCGCAAAATTTCCACACTCCAGATATCTGGGAGATGGTTTCGCCAGGATTGGCGAAACAAAGCCCGTACTGATTGGTGAGAGGGATACTTGCTGATGGCAACCCCGTTATCATAATTAGTGCTGTTGTGTACGCCTTACGATTGTGCTGTGTACGTTGCCCTAAGATCCATGTGCCAGACGGATTTATGCCCCTTCTCTTCAACCTCCATTCACTCTCGCTTTGTCATTTGGAAAATAAAATGATGGTGACAGCTGAGAGAGCGTTGATCCGTGCTTGATCCTTGCTAGGAGCACACGCAGCGCGGTAACGTCAAGGCGAGATTGCCTTGCGAATCTATCCAACAAAAGCGACAGCGAGCTGTCAATTCAGCTAGTAGTCCAGTTGGAACGTCACTATCGAGAAGTAGCTATCAGCATGTTGAGTAGAGGCCAGCTTGAGTATGATCGTCACGCTGTTTCGGAAGATTCCACTCGGGAGATGTGGAACCGACGCAGCGACGCTGTATTTGCAAGCATCTCAGTCGAAACGAAGAATCAAAACGGAAATGAGGTTCCTGTCGGGTACCTTTTGTGCTTAACGGAGTAGAAATTCCTCCTATTCGGGGTTGGGGTCGAGAAGCCAGCTTTCAGGGCTTCGGCACACGACACTGCTAGTAATCCGTGATCAGCCTTCGAAACTGCCATGTTCAGGAAGCTGCGGTTCATAAAGCAGCAACGCTTGAGGTGATTTTAGCAGCCGCCAGGACCTCTCGAATCAGTAATTTTCCCCTCTCTCGAATCATCCTTGTCGTGTAAGTTGGTCTGATCACGGCGCTGCACTCCAAAATGCCTCCTCGGGACACAACGACCCCAGCGACCCCTTCCTCGGTCTCAGGGATCAGAGGCTCCTCCAAAGCCGTGGAGCGCTGCTCTCCGCTTCAAATTGCTCACGCCATACTGAAGGTACTCCTGTCTATATGTAAAGTAGCATATCCTGCATTATGTGAATCCACAAGCTCAGTTTGTCCTGCATTTTAGAAGGAGTCTACTCACCTGAATTGTATGTGCAGGAGCATAACCTTCCACATGGCCTGCTGCCTATGGAGAGCCTGGCTGACATCTCCTTCAACTCTACTGATGGAAGATTCATTGCAACTCAGGGAAAAGACGAGTGCATGGCGGAATTTGGGGGACATTACATTAAGTTCGACAGAGTCATATCTGGGGATCTCTGTCAAAACGGAATATTCAACCTCAAGGTGCGTATCCTAGATGTGATCACAACTGCCACGACGTTCCAGGGCCCGTGCCTCATGCTGTGTGCATTGGACTGTGCAGGGAATCAGAGTTAAACGCTTTCTCATGTGGTTGCCTATCGGCAGTGTGAGAACAGATCCTTCTCCTGGTAAAAACATTCACTTCCAGGTTGGACCCTTCACAGCGTCCCTCCCTGCAAAGGAGCTGTGGGAATACAAATTCTGGGCACCGTCCTTCAATAAAGCTCCTGAGCCACCCAGCCCCTCTAGGTGCCCGCCGCCTGTTCTCCACCTTCCGCCACTGGCCACCCGCTTCCATTCAGCCACTGCTTTGTATAGTGTCAAAGCCGCGTCAAGTGGATCAACAGTGATAGAAAGGGCATGAGCACTAGCTGGGAAGCAATCCGATTTTTTATTATGATGAGCATGCTGTATTTTCCTCTCCCTTTTTAGCCTCAAATATATGCATCTCCCTCATTGATTGCTGAAAACCCATGCGCCACCACTTCATTAGAGTGTTAACTACCTAGTGTAGCCGGGGAGGTTGAGAGTTGGCAGCCATATCACAATAAGTGAGAACCCTGATGGAGCAGGGAGTGGTTATATGTACTTTTATTGATTTAATATTTACCTTATTTCTTTCCAATTTTCTTCTGCAGCTATTGCTTCGCTGCCAAAGCTGCTAGAAGACACCTTCTCCCAAACTGTTACGAGTGCAATTGAGTAAACGAACGAGAATTGCACTATCGAAGCAAGAGTACAATGAGCGAAGGCATGAGCGAAGAATATATAGCGAAACTACAGTGGTAACGGTAATGGACTGTGGTTGTCGCGCGACGGGCCTGGAACTGAGGTTGGGAAAAGTGTCGAAGCGGAGGCCCGGAGCGCGGGTTACCCGCCGAGCCGTGAGGTCGGGGTGCGACGTGCGAAAGTGGCGGGCGGATTGTCGATGCGAGGATGGCGAGTGGTAACGGTGCTGACTGTGGTGCTACAGTGATGTACGCGTTGAGCAGGGGTGCGAAGTAAGGAAAAAGAGATTTTCCTTGCACAAACGAACATGTGACTTGCCGCCTCTCAGGCGAATTTCAGCCACGAAATTTGCTTCTCTCCGTTTGGTACCTGTCTTGACATTTCAGCTCGGGTATACAGCCCCAAAGCAACGCTCCCACAACGTACCTAGCGCGGCAAGCTCAGTACCTCTATTTTCAAGCGCCGCCAGCCGCTCTGGGAACACTAGTTGCACGGTTCGGTGCCACTTGTTCCCTACACCAGTAGGGCACATATCAAGCCTATTCCATGCTAGGCTAGCGGTTCTGTGCAGGACGAACCTCGCCCCGACCAGTCAACAAAACGATTACTGTACACACGTTCCTCCCACAGGGGGCACGCGATATCACCGACATAGAGCAGAAATTGAAATCCAGCTGGCGTCATCACAGGCGCCAACGAAATTTCGTTCCCGTTGACAAATGCGGCGAAAGCGACCAGGTTCACATGGTGCGAAATTTGTGACGAGACTGGCCAATGACAGGCGTTCCGTCAGGGCAGCCTTCGTCGCATTCCGTCGTACACACGACAACAACCAGTCATGCGCCACCAAACTCCCCTTGCAGCGCGTCGTGCGACTCCAAATCCGACTGGTCGGTTCTCTCCCTTGTGGTTCGGCGTGTGTCGCACGCACTGTGAGACGAGGTGGTGGTGCGTCGCACGCACGCCCGCCCACCCACTTATCGCATCGCAGTGCTCCTCCTCTCCTCCGCCCCTCCCTCCTCGTCTCGTCACTCCCATCCCATCCCATCCCATCCCATCCCATCCCATCCCATCCCATTTCCACCCAACTCGTTGCTGCTGAAACTAGCATCATCCAACTAACTAGCGGTAGTTTCCATCAGGTGGTATTGGCCTTTGTGGAATACAAATACCGCCGCATTTCTTCAAGTCAGCCAAGGAAGGCATCCGCCTTTTCCATTCCAGTTTCTGGTTTCCCCTTCCATTCCCCGACGAATCCGTAGAGCTGTCACCTACCCAGCTATCTTCCGCCCTCACGAGTGCCTTTCCGTACCAGCCGTCACGACCATTCCAAACCACCAATCTGACCCCACTGACACTTTAACCCCTACGGCATAAACCCGCGCAGAAGCAACATCGGCGCAGGTACGAGCTCAAATTCGCGAGCGTCGTCACTTATTCTCGCCGTTTCGGTTTCGGTAACCACTCCTCGACTCCCTAATACCAATAATGGCGAGGACTCAACGCGTCGCACGCGCCTCGACGAAATCCGCCGCGCCGATCCTCCTATCAGCCGCCATCGTATGCGGCCTCCTACTTCTCGCCGTCGCGCCGCTCGCGAACGCGTCGCGTCTAGCTCCCAACGGCACGATCTCCGCGACGGGAAGATCGTCAGGATGGCGGCGCAGTTTGTTTTTCTTGCCGTTCGGCCGGTACATGTGCGGCAATTCCAAGCTGAAGGGCTATACTTCAATGGTGAAGCTCCAATACGGGTACGCGACAATGCAGGCCGCGATAGAGCGACGAGAGCTGATGTGCCATCGTATTTCTTTTCTGTCTTCCTTACTTCTTTCCACACCGAACCTTTCTTACTTTCTTTCTTCGTCTCTACGCTCATCCCCGCTCATCCCAACGTCGTCCCGGGTTGTTCCAATGTTCCCTTTTCCGCCATGTGGATCTAAAATCCCCTTCCCCATCCCCGTTCATCCCCTTTCATCCGCGCTCATCCCCGTTACAGGCTCTCTCTGCACTGGAAGGCCACCAAGGGCAAACACATCCACTTCGCCATCCAAGCGCACCCGGGATCCGCGGCGCACAAGGCGGGCTGGTTCGCCGTCGGCTGGTCGCCCAGCGGCGACATGGGCGGCAGCAACGTCGTCGCGTACGAGACGGGCACAGGCACCGCGTCGCCGTACGATCTCCAGGGGCAATCCGCCGCCGTCGCCGCCACGTCGTGGGCGCCCGGGTCGCTGGATGTTACCACCGGCAAGAAGGGCGGCATTATCATCAAGTGAGTTCGCTGACCCTGCGATTCATGCTCTAATAGTGGTAGTTTTCTCTCGGTCCAATCTCCAGGGGCAATCCGCTGCTGTCGCCGCCACGTGGTGGGCGCCTGGGTTGCTGGATGTTACCACCGGCAAGAAGGGCGGGATCATCGTCAAGTGAGTTTGTCATGCCCGCCCGTGTGGTGGTTTAGACATACAGTTCCTCGAATGCCTCCACCCTCCACCCATACAGTTGCTCTACAATCCCTCGAATCTCCAGCCCTTACCCTCCTCCCACTGCCCTCCCCCAGCCCATCTTTCATTCCATTCCGCTCCCACATCTCCTTTGCTTCCCCATCACCCACATCTCCCTTCTCCCCTGTACGATTCGCCTCACATTCTCCTTGCCCTTGCTCCTCCTCCACAGAATGTTTCCTTTTCCAACTGACTAGCAAGCTGCTCTTCGTTCTAACGAACCGGCTCGGCTAGCAACGCCTCATCTGTGGCCCACATCAGCGGGGGCACCCACATCAGGGCCGCCCCACTTTCCCCTCAACCCAACATTCTCCCTCCGTGCCCCCCACTCTTGCTTTCAGGTTCACTCGCTCGGCCGGCGATGGCTCATCCGTGAAGGTCCACAACAGTGGGGGAGCCAACATTGTGTTCGCATACGGACCTGACTCTAACGTCGCCCTGCACACCGATGCGTAAGTGTCATGTGATGACGGGCTCTGCTTCTGCTGCCTACTACCTATGGACTTACTGTTTTCTGACTGTTGTTGCTACTGGATTTGTTGCTTTGTCTTGCAGCGAGCACTCTGTGGCTGACTTCTCCTGTGGCTGCGGGTTTCTCAGGAACGGCTGCTGAGGTCCTGCCAAATACAGTGTGCGCGTTCCTACGCCTCTTATCAGACACACCTCTGATCAGAATCGCATGGTTCAAACCGTTTCAGTTCAAACCGTTTCAGTGGGGTGCGACAGGAGTCTGATAGAGGTCTGTCTGACAAGAGGCCGTAGGAATCATTTGACGAGCACTTGTATCGGCTGCATGACCCTTGTTTCATGACAATTGAGCTTTCCATGGCATATATATGATGCATGTACATGCAACTATTTATTTTTGTAATTTCTGTTGAAATGGAAAATACGAACATCAGTGGGCCGAGATGATGATTAGAGCTGCTCTTCCGCTCAGAGTAGGGGGTTGCATGTAATTAATGCTGTAAATGAAATGCTTTTTCTTTAGGCTCGGAAAGCAAGGCTGCTTGGTTTCAGACTGTATGACTGTGATCATCTTTTACCGCGGAACTGATGGATCATCTCCATCCATTTTTGTTCCTCCCCTCCCATCTGCTGTTCTCGCTATCTGCTTCCGCCTAGAAATATCCAGCTCCAGTGCCGGGGCGTTCATTTCTCTCAATCAAACCCAGAATCGCTTCCTACCTTCCATCACTTGTCATGCCTCCAAAACCCCGTGTCCATTCCAAAGCGTCGCCTTCTTCGCTTGACTTTTCCTGCTTTGTGCGCATCGCCGGACCTCCAGTCGCTCTCGCGCGTTTTTGCTTTAAAGAATATAATACTCATGCATTCGCGCTTAACAATGTGGTCCCGGCGATCATGAATATTGGAAGCAGATGATGAATTGTATTGGTCTCGTTCGTCGTAATGGCAGTGTCTTCACTGCCTTGCCGACAACCATACTACATCACCACCCATAGCCTGATGCTTCCATCCATTGAACATTCACCAAATAAGGAGTACAGGTGTTCCATTATCTCCCCTTGCGCGTCTTTTTTGTGTTCAATTGTCATAACATCATAGGTGACGATATCTATTTCTTTCTTTCGTTCTGAAGGACACTGGAAGCGTATGATGAATTGTATTGGTCTCGTTCGACGTAATGGCAGTGTCCTCACTGCCTTGCCGACAACCATACTACATCACCACCCATAGCCTGACGCTTTCACCGTCTCAATACCACTTGAATATAAGGATCCAAAAAGTTGCTCTGATCTCCCCCTTGCATGATTCTTCTGTTATGGCTTAAGTCGATTCTTATGAAGTCGATTCTTATGGCTTAAGTCGATTCTGTTATGGCAAAAGATCGGGTTCCTCTGGATAACGTTGGGAGCGTATGATGAATTGTATTGGTCTCGTTCGACGTAATGACAGTGTCTTCACTGCCATGCCGACAACCATACTACATCACCACCCATAGACTGATGCTCGCAACGCTATACAATCTATATCAAGGTGATCTCCATCATCCACGCGTAATCTATGTTTCCACGCGTAATCGATGTTAGCTTCCTGCTCGATACGTACTGATCTGTTCAACACGAAATCACAGGCAGCACAAGGGAGGGTCATCCATTGTTCAGTCACAGCTCATGCCTCACTGTTCAGCCTGGCAAATAGTGGTTCAGAGCGGTAAAGCGGCCAAAGCGCTACAGCCTGGACTTAACAGCATTGTCATCAGATTGAAGAAGGTAAACTCGCCCGATGTAAAAAACACATTGATAAGCTCTGTTAAAAATTGTTTTCATCCGTTGTAGTCTTGTCGGTTAGGATACTCGGCTCTCACCCGAGTTCAAGTCCCGGCAACGGAACGCCCTTTCGTCTGTTCAACCTCGAAATGTTCCCGATTTTACCCATATGTCATTCTGCCATTACGCTTCTCACGATCGCCACACGTTTCCAAAAACGCGATGGCGTGATGCGCGAATACTGCAGATGCGCCATTGCCCTTTTTGCGCCATTACTCTGCAGGCTGCCTTCTTCATCGCGTCCACCCACGCTTTTGCTTATGTTAGCCCGAGTAGGCGTTCATTTGCATCCTAAGCGTAGGCTGGGGGCAAATGTCTCCGTCGTTATGCTTGTGAAACAGATCGACATACTGTTGTCTATGTTGCCGTCACCTCTTGTTCGTATACGATTTTCGGTAGGCAACGTGATGCGCGATTTTCCGAAAGAATGATCTTGGACGGTTTCCGTCAGACATACCCTGCAGAAACTCACACCCGGCGTCCGAAATTTCAAGCTGGCCGTTTCGGACGGTTGCTCCTTCGCCGTTACATGCTCCACGGGCCCTTCAACCCGTTAGGCTGTGACATCATCGTCGCGATGTAGAATCCGCGAGGCTGCTGATTTGCCAGGAAGCATGAAGTTGCAGGAAAATAAGCTGGAGCGAGCTGCACACATGATAACAGGCATCAGCAGTGGAGGTTAGTGAGGTGGTAAGTGATTAAGACTGCAGGCTGATGGGCACGCCCCATGCATGTAGATGTTGTAGGTGTGAATGTGCTATATGTGAAGTCTGATTGGGAAGTTCTGTCAGGCTTTTGCGTGCTGCTGCAGTCAACCATCCGTTCAGCATTTCCTATCGTCTCGACCTAAAAAACAGCTGGAGTTAGTATGTCTCCTACCGCTCTCTCCCACTACCAGAGCGTGACGATTGACACAGCAGCGCCAAAAGGTGACGTGCATATTGTAATGCTGTCGTTTTGCTGATATGAGAAAGCTATGGTCTTTGGGTCACCCAAGTTAAATGGTGGCTGTTGCTGCAGGTCCATGTCCTATCTTGCTGAATGTGATGAGATGGAATTTCCTGCTACTGTTGTTTTTGGTTTTCACTCTCATCTCTTTTCCGTTTCTCCCGTCCCCTATACCCTGTGCCTTCTCCCCACTCGCTTGTTTCTTCGCTCTTATGACGCATTTGATGGTCTGTTGGAAGGACCCCTGGATGCAGCTAAGTTGGCGCTCTTCATTGCAAGGCTTAGGGCGCGTTCGTTCCGTCAAATTGGACAAAGTTCATGTTTTGGGGGCGAATATTTTTTTTGAGCCTAAGTCGAATGGAATTCGACTTTCCTTGTAGCGAAGTTCGAAAATTGCGGGAATAACACTGCAAAGATGCAATCACACACGCAAGGTCGAACACCAGAATTTGAACTTTATGTTACCCGGTACATGCTCGCCAAGTCAAATTAATGCCATTGTATGTTTCGCGATGGCGTCGTCAATTTCGCATGGTGTCGTGCGTGCCGAAAACACACACGCTCACATGAACGCGCTCACGGACGTTCACAACGCCAACTCGAGTCATGTTCACGTTTCAAGTTCGAACTTTCATAAGCCCTGAAATTCGCGATGTTCGTCATACGCTCTTCACGAGATTGGCGTAAAGGGTAACCACCTAAAGTTCGAACTTTTTTTCGAACTTGGAAACGGAACGAACGCGCCCTTATGCAGGCTGGCTCCATCTCACTGATGGAGCAGGATGCCTTTCCACAGTCTGTTGTGGTGGTTGGGCCTCTTGCTGCACGATGTCGAGTGAAGCGCATTTGCTTCTAGCATCAATGACTGCTGTAAAATTGGTCAGTAAAATAGTGGATTTCCTTGTTGTCAAGCAGGTATATAACCCCCCACTCCCCCTTCAGCTTCCTGTCGAGCATATTTTTATTGTCATCTGCCACATACACAAGTTTCAATTTCGAAAGTGTTTTGTAGGCTGTAACAGCCTGCTTTGATGTGACACTCGCGATCTCGAATCTCCATCCCCCCCTCCGGGAAATTTTCAGGTCTTGCGAAGTTGCGAAGCTTTCGATGGTGGTGACCCCAAATGTCGCCATCCCCAAATTTCTGTCACATCTCGAAACTCACGATCGCAAATTTCGCCGTAAGTTTTGTATCGGGATTCGCGATATTTTCTCTCGAACCGCGCAAATGAAATTTCCCGACATTCGACATTGAACCTCACAACTGCACTTCCAACATTTTCGACAGCACCAGTCGCTGTCGGAACTTTTCTCCCCACGATTTGCACACAATGCCAGGCAGGTTATCCCTTTCATTTGCTTCCCAGAATCTTAGGCGGCATCTCACCGCCTCTCTTACTGTCGTCGGTTGATTTGGTTACTTCCCCCCCCCCCCTCTCTTACTAGCGTTGCTGGTATGCCCTTCAGTCCCCTCTCATCATCTTCAGCAGCACCAGTCGCTTTCTCAGTTCTAGGAGAATCAAAACACCGCTCTGGTCATTTGTAGTGGAACTAGTAACCATAATTCGTTTTCTCATAACTGCAGACGTTGACAGAAATTACATTCACTCTTTTGTCTCGCTGCAAAGGAAAACAGTGAAAGGCTAGCAATCCCCGCTAAGGGTTCTTTGCTCTCCTGCGCCTACCCACCTATCCTTTTAAAAACCCGTGTTTCCAACCCCGTCGTTGAACGACTATTTCGACGCCTCAACACATTTCCAGCAACTCCCGTCCGACTCCTCCGCGTTTACTTGCACAACTCAGGCCACCAACAGGGTGACTGGATTCGCCACCAACAACTGCCATTTCTTGAATTCCAGAGACACAGCGTCCCTCAGGAAGGCTTTAACAGGACATTCATCTCAGCGTTGAACTCTCCAATGCGTCCCGTACAGTGGACTTGCGAAAGAGGGATCGGGGGGCATGCAGACGCGAAGGCGGGAGGATCGTTCCGGGGGGCAGGTTCGCAGTGCGCATGGCCTCCCTCGCTTGCACGTATCAGGACACGCCTGCAGCAAGATGACGACTCGCAATCTGCAGACTCGCAATCTGCAGACTCGCAATCTGCAGACTCGCAAGCTGGATCGGTCCAGGGTGCAGGTTCGCAGTGCGCATGGCCTCCTCCTCTTCCTCCGCTTGCACGCATCAGGACACGCCTGCAGCAAGATGAAGACTCGCAATCTGCCAACTCGCAAGCTGGACACTCGCAAGTCCCAAGCGGCGCTTCATCAAACCTCGAAGATTCAAGCAGCGGCCCAGCAAGCGACAAAGACCTGCAGCCCGTGTCTCCTATCAGCCGGCTCTTTCTGGAGAACACTGAAGCTGCTCCCGCTCCCCACGTGATTCACACGACTGGAGAAGACTCAGAAGGCACCAGCAGCGCTCCAGAAGGACCTAAAGAGCCCCAGCCCGTGTCTCCTACCAGCCACCTCTTCTCGGAGAGCACTGACGCTGCTCGCACTATCCATGGAATTCACTCGCCCTCAAGGCCCCAAGTCCAACATCAGGATCGTAGCAGCCACATTCCTTCACAACAAGTCCCCAAGGCCTCATCAGGATCAGCAGATGCGAGCAGCAGCTTGAAGGACTCAGAAGAACACCAACCCGTGTCGCCTATCAGCCGGCTCTTCCTGGATCCTGCCCTAAGCACGGTCATCCTGATGGCCATGGAGTTCGAGGGGAGCAGCGTGGGAGTGACGGAGCTCACTGGCTTGGTTCGAGCTCTGCTGTCCTCCCAGCCCCGCTTCACCAGCCGCATCGTAAGTCTGAGTCGTGTAGAGTCTTGCTTGCTGCCTCTCTTCCTGGATCCTGCCCTAAGCACGGTCATCCTGATGGCCATGGAGTTTGAGGGCAGCGGTGCGATGGGACTGAAGGAGCTGACCACATTGGTTCAAAATCTTCTGTCCTCTCAGCCCCGCTTCACCAGCCGCATCGTGAGTTCTTGTCACTCCCATGTCGTGAGGTGAGCTGAGTCCTATAGCATGCTTTCCTTGCTCTCTCTTCCTCGATGCTGCTCTGAGCACGGTCATCCCGATGGCGATGGAGTTTGAGGGCAGCAGCACGGTGATGGGAGTGACGGAGCTGATGGATTTGGTGTGCGCCTTGCTGTCCTCCCAACCCCACTTCACCAGCCGCATCGTGAGCCGAGCTAGAGTCCCATCTCATGGCTTCCTGCTTGCAAGTACCCGCGTGGAATGATCCTACTGGTTTCCAGCCTTCCCCAGTTCTGGTACTTGTGGGATGTGCGTGTTTACTTACCCCCATGCACTGGGCTTCAGAGTTTCCCCCTGACTTGTCGTCTCTCCCTTGTCTCCATCTACTCTCCATCTACCTGTGACCACCACGAGGGGCACCGAGGCTGGTGGCGAGTGCCCACGTGGCCACCTACCCTCGGTGCACTGGCCTTGTCACTAAGCGCAGGAGCCTTCCCTCTTTCGTCGACTTGTCTTCTCTCGCTTGTCTCCAACTAACTACCCTCCATTTGCTGCACCCACTACCAGGAGCACCGCGGCTGGTGGCGTGTGCCGGTATGGGTGCCCACCCACGTGGACTGGGCTAACCACGTGGTGCAGGAGCCTTCCTGCTGCGCATCATGCTTGATCCTTCCTCTGTTCTTTCCCATGCCCTCATATTAGGAGCACCGCGGCTGGTGGCGTGTGCCGGTATGGGTGCCCACCCACGTGGACTGGGATAACCACGTGGTGCAGGATCCTTCCTGCTGCGCATCATACTTCATCCTTCCTCTGTTCTTTCCCATGCCCTCATATTAGGAGCACCGGGGCTGGTGGCGTGTGCCTGTATGGGTGCCCACCCACGTGCACTGGCGTAACCACGTGGTGCAGGAGCCTTCCCTCTGCGCTTCCTGCAGCAGCACGGACGAATCTCAGCCGTCCATCTCACATGAACAGCGCTCGCCAGAAGATCTTCGTTATAGTGTGCCTCGCTGCAGTGTGGAGAGCCACGTGGTGCGGCTGCAGACCCTCCCTCTGTTCGATTTCAACCAGCCGCTGTGGCAAGTGCACCTGCTACCGACCTGCAAGCACATCCCTCGCCCCACCGCTGTTTTCCGGTGAGCTCTCCCCCCCCGTTTCCAGCACCCACCCCCTGTATAGCCACACCCCCACACCCCCTGTGTCAATTCGATTTCAACCAGCCGTTGTAGCGAGTGCACCTGCTGCCCACCTGCATACACATCCCTCGCTCCACTGCTGTCTTCCGGTACAGTCACACCCCTCTACAATCACACCCCTCTACAGGCACCATCCTTTCAGTCACACTTCCCCGCACAGTGCACCTTCTGCCCACGTGCGCCCACATCCCTCGCTCCACTCCTGTCTTCTGATGCTGTAGGAGGTTGACACTGGCACTGCCCTCATGCGTCACCTCTCCCTTGCCGTGCTTGCCCCCCCTCCCTTTGCATGCCTACCACACCAGCATTCACCACATCATTGGCGATGGTACCTCGCTCATGTGGCACCTCCCTCTCTCTTCCCTTGACCTCCTTGTTCCCCTCAAATTGCACTACTCTCTCGCCCACCCTGTCTCCCTTCCACTCTTTTGCACGCCTCCCTCCCAGCATTCACCATGTCATTGGTGATGGCACCTCGCTCATGTGCCTCCTCTCCAGCCAATCTACACCGTCCAAGTCTTTCTCGCTTCCCTTCGAACAATCTGGACCGTCCAAGTCAGATAACACGATTGGTGATATCGCCTGTGGTATCAGTCCAACATCCGATTCTGAAGTAACAGGCAGCAGCACAGTGACGGGGGCCCCAGAAGGCGATAACGAGTCAGCCCTTGAAGAGGATGAAGCGGAAGTGGAGAGTGAGCTGGGGAGTGTGGTAGGGAGTGAATCGGCAGGAAGCAGTGGTGACAGTGCGTGTGACAATAAGGAGTGTGACAATATTGCAGGTAACAGTGGTAACCACGGTGAGTGTGGCGACAGTGGTGGGAGTGGGGGAGGTGATGGGGCCGCTGCTGCTGCTGGTTCTGCTTTTTCCGCTGCTGCTTGTGATGGCATGGATAGGGCCAGCAACAGCAATGGGAGTATACAATCCTGTGGAGTGGAGATGATAAGGAATAGATCGGACTGTAGCACCATCAGCAGCGGCTCTAGCAGCAGCAACATCAGTGCCACCAAGAGCAGCAGCGTCATCATCAGCTGCAGTAGCCATAGCCCCAGCAGTAGCCCCATATTCAAGAATGATGACTTTGAAGGTTCAAGGTCTTTAGCAAAAGAAGCAGCAGCATCAGCACCAGCAGCATCCCCAGAAGCATCAGCAACTGCAGCTGCACCGATGCCTGACTCGACTCAACCAGTGGCCATCTTTGATTTTCTGGAGTCTGGGTTGCGGAACGAAGCAGCAGGGGCTGAGTGTGTGTCTGCACCAGCTGCTCACAGCATTGCACATGAAATTCATTCCACTGCCATACCAATCCCAGCTGGTATTGCTGCTGCTGCCACTGTTGGTGAATCACCTGATGCATCACCTGCTGTACTATCTGCCGTACCACCTGCCACACCACCTGCTGCTTCGCTGCCTGTGCAAACTCCAGCTGCTGTAAAACCCGGTTTTACTTCGACTGCACCAAACAGCACCACCAGGCCTTGGAGCAACATGCTCCAGCACACCTCCACAGCATGGAGGTTCATCGGAACAGCATGGCGATGCATCGTCACAGCATGGCGATGCACCATTGCCACCGTTGCTCACCTGATTGAATTCCTCTTAACCATCCTGTTCCTCTCGGACCATCCCTGCACGCCTGTTCGCTCCGCCATGCCGTTCTCGAGACTGCGAAAGCAGGACCAGCGGACGCTTCCGAGAAGCTTCGCGGCGACGGAGGGGATTGAGATGGAGAGGGTGACACGGGTTCGCAAGGCACTCGGAGCGGTGAGTGGGAGTGAGGTTCATTGATGGGTGAAATATGAATCTCCCCTCTGCACTCTTCATATCCCCTTTCTATCGCAATGCTATTTCTCCCTCCATTATCATTCTCCTTCTCTGTCCGATTCTCTCCCCCTCGGTCTTTACCCCCACTTCCCTCTTCCAACCCTCAAATCTCCTCCTGTTGTTTTCCTCTTCACATGCTCTCTGCATTTTCACCCCATCCTTAACCCGACCATTCCCCTCACACACAGACTGTGAACGACCTTATGATGGCAGTGATTGCAGCGGGCATAGAGAGCTACGTGCAAGATCTGAGAACAAAGCATGGAGGCCTCAGAACTCAGCAGAGCAAAGCAGGAGGGAGCGCCGAATACGAGTCAAGTACGCAGCGCCTGAAGCCAAGTGGATGGAGCAGCAGGAGTGGTGCCATACGGTTCAGAGCGGTGACAATGGCTGATTTGAGGAGCAGGACCCGAAAGGGACCACCTGTTGTGAGTGGTAACTTGTTTCTTTCCATCTCTTTCACCACTCTTAACTCCTCATTACTCTGGTCTCCTCTTTCCCGTATGCCCAAGCCCAACAGTGACCGATTTTTCCCTGCTCTGGCCTTGCTAACTGCTAATGCTCTTCTTGTCTTGCCTCTTTCCCATGTGCTCCTGTTTCAGTGGGGCAATAAGCTTGGGATAAGCGTCATCTCCCTCCCCATCTCGCTACATCCTCCCCCTCTTCATCCTCCTCCTCCTCCTCTTCCCACTGCCGCACCTAAAAAACTTGCATATGCCACGTCAGCATCATTGCCACAAGACTCCGACTCCTCCACTGCCGCACTGCCACATGGAATTGACAACCACGTCATTGATATCCCACCAGAATTAGCGCAGGAGATTGCAGTGAAAGTTTCATGTGGAGGAAGGGAAGGGGGGATGGCAGGAAATGGAAAGGCAGTGGAAGCCAGGGGAGTAAAGGAGGGAGAAGGTGGGGAGAAGGAAGAGGGGAGTGGGAAGGAGGCAAGGAGAGTGCAGCAAGTGCGGAGGGAGTGTGGGCAAAAGAAGGTCTCTTGGGAGGCTCATCTCACCAACCTCTATGCTCGCCTCGCGCTCGCGCTGCTGGGCCGTAAGGTAGGAAGGGAGGGGGGGTTGGGGCGAGTGATTGCTGTGTCGAAGTGCTCCCTTCCTTGCTATTCACACTGCTCATCTCAGCTGCACTGGTCTGTTTGATACGCCGTGCCTGCTTTACAGAACCCAACTCTCTTAATTGCAACATGTATGCCCCTTGTGCTTCCACAACAGGCAATGGCATGGCTGTTCGCAAGGGTGGCTAAGCAAACATCGATTACCGTCTCTAACATTGCTGGGCCAAAGGAAAAGTTGTTTCTTTCAAGGCATGTTGTTTCGGCACTGACTATTACTACAGTGGGCCAACACCAGGTGCGCACATCGATAAACACTAAAAATTCCATGTGCATTTCACACCACGTTTTGCCTAGATCTCTTCCTCCCCTCCCTATATCTGGAGATATTGCAGGCCATGACATGCCATATTGAGTCATATGCTGGTTACTTGAAGATCGTCGTTAGCGCACTGGATAACTATGTCCCAGATGCGCCAAACATGTGCTTTCATTTCATGAAGGCTTTTAGAAGACTGGAAAGGGAGGTCCTTAGCTGTAAGGGTCAGTAAGAAATTCTTAGCAGCTCAGATTGGACATGAAGGGGCATAATGTTGAGCGCACATGTTTTAAAAGAGGCAAAAATTAATACGGTATATGAATTTTGAAACAAAGTAACATATCATGGGCAGTACGGTAGTGTCAGGGAGTGTCATGACTTGCATATTTAAAAGAGCCAACCCTATCCTTCCTCCAATTTCGCATCGGCACAACCTTTCCCTTTTCTCCCTTTCTCCTTCGTCCCCACGTGCTCGGCCCGTCCCATCCTCCCCCTCACAACATGCACTTTACTCGCACACACGCCCACCTCCACCCCTTCCTCTGCCACACCACTCCCATACACATCCACATGCCTCAAAGCCCTCGCCTGTCTGAGGGACTCCGGTAAACACTTGATTGCCACACATTGCCTCAACTGAAGCACTTCTAAGCGAGGCAGCAGACCCAGGGTGGGGGGGAGGGAGTGGAGATTCTTGCAGAGGCTGAAGCAGGCAACTTGAAGCGCAGACAGGGAGGAGAAGGAGCTAGGAAGGTGCGTGAATGATCCGCATTCGGCAATTTTGAGGCGGGTTAGGCGGGGCAAGAAGCCAAAGGTCTCAGGAAGGTGGGAGAATCCCGGGCAGTTGAAGATGCTGAGGAGGGTCAGGGCGGAAAGGCCGGATAAAGAGTCGGGCAGATGGTGAAACTTTCTGCACGAGTCCACAGAGAGACGCTGCAGGGAGCATAGAGAGCCGAAGTTATCGGGCAGTGTGGTGAGATCACTGCAGCTGGTGATCGTAAGCGAGAGCAGGCGAGGGAGGAGGCAGAAGGAGGGAGGCAGGCGGAAACTGCCAGAACAATCAGTCAAGGAGACCTCCTCAAGAGAGGTTAAACCAGACAGAGTGTCAGGAAGATAATCCCTTGACCCATCACTGATACTCAGCTTCTTCAGCGCTCCCAGGCAGCCTAACCCCGGGGGCAAAGCTTCCAGACTAAGACACCAGTTAATACTCAGCTCTTGTAATCTCGACAGCTTAGAGATCCCACTGGGCAGGTGCTTTAGGGTCCTGCTGCAGAGGTACAGACGCTGTAGAGAGCGCAAGTCACAGAGTGACTGAGGAGGCCCGGGTGTTAAGGAGCAGTATTTCAGCTCCAGCCACTCTAAGTCTGCCAGCTGGCCCAGGTCTTCTGGCAAGGACACGTGGCTGGGGAAGGTGATGTCGTACTCTATGCGTAGCGTGCGGAGGGCGCGCAGGCGGGCAAAGGCAGGCGGGCAAAGGCAGGCGGAGGGGACAACGGCAGGTACATGTTGTGAAGGCGGAGGTTTGTGAGGGAGGTGAGAAGCGGGAGACAGGGCGGCAGATTCCGGTGAAAGGCGTCCGCGTCACTGGCGCCGCTGTAGTGCAGCTTGAGGGAGTGCAGGCACGGAGCGAGGCGCGAGAGCGAGTGCGGCAGGCAGAGCGAGGTGCCGCGGAGGGAGAGCGAGCGCAGGTTGCGCAGGGAGCCCAGGTTGGAGGGGAGTCTAGCGGAGGCGGAGAGCCAGTCGATCGAGAGGTGCGCGAGGGAGAGCAGCGAGCAGAGACGAGAGGAGAGCGTACGGATGCCTTGCCTGCCGTACCCTAGCATCTCTTCAAGAGTCCTGCCCAGGCGGATACTGAGATTCTTCAGAGACGGGCTGAGCTCCACGTGGTAAGTGGTATCACCTGCCGCACCTCCTGCTGCTGCGAAAGTGGCTGCTGCGGCAGCGGCTGTGTCCGCTGCGGCGGCGACCTCCCTCGAGTTCTCCATATCCGTCACGTCGGGCGGCTCGAGCCACCCGACGTTGCGCAATTTCACGTGCGCCAAGGACGGCAGCGCGAAGAGAGCCTCGGGAAAGCGCTCCTCCCGGTCGACGCTTGACACGTGCAGCCGCTCTAGAGCTACCAGCCCGCTTAGCGGCTCGAGGGACACGTCGAAACCGAGATGATCGAGCGTTAGATGACGCAATGCCGTCGCGAAGGGCAGGTTGGCCGGGAGCGACTGGAGCTCCCGGCAGGCGCTGATCGTGAGATGCGTGAGCGAGTGCACGGACGCGAGCTGGCAACTGCGCATGTCGGTGCACGAAGCCAGAGTGACTTGCTCGAGTTTCGCCCAATTTTCGCATGCCTCTGGTAACCCGCCTCGGAAATTCCGCAGGTCCAGTCGCCGCATCTGCTGCAGCGCGCCGATGCGAGGCGGGAGGCGATCCACCTGCCACGCGCCGTCGATGTGGAGAGAGGTGAGCGACGAGAGATCGCCGAGCGAATCCGGCAGGCGCCGCATTTCTTTGCAGCCCGTAAACGAAAGGTGCTCCAGCCTCGTTAGCTGGCCAATTTTTCTGGGCAGCTGCTGCAGCAATGGGCAAGTGAGATAAAGTTCCTGCAGGGCAGACAGCTGGCATATCTCGTCGGGCAGCGAGCGGAAAACCTTGGAGCACAGGCGAAACACGCGCAGCGACGACAGCGACGCGACGGAGGCAGGGAGCTTCGTCGTGTGGCCGAGACATTCGCGCAGCGAGAGCTCCTGCAGGCACGACGACGCGACGCGGAAGAAATTCTCGACAGCTTCTGTGCCGATTCGAAAGTGGGGCGTTCCGGTGAAGCGGGGGGAGCCGATGCTCAGGCGGGCGAGCTGGGGCCGCGCGGAAAGCAGGCTAGACAGAAACTCGTCGTCGTAAATATCGACGGCGTATGCTTCCAGAGAAAGCGCCGTAACGCTCGGCGCGAGCGCCAGCGTGCGGAAAAGCGCGGGCGCGGAGATCGTGGGGGCGGAAAGCGCCATCGCGAGCTTCTCGGTACCGCGGAGTTCGGGGGAGTCTGACTTAAAAGCGCCAGGGACGCGGAGGGTCGTCATCAGAAACAACCATCGCTTACAAACCACCGCGAGGTTGCTAAAATTGGGGATATCCGTGAAGTTCGTCTCGCCAGTCTGGCCGTTATCCGTGCCGCCAAGTTCTGATGTCGATTCTGCAGCGGCGGTGGCGGCGGTGGCGGCGGTGGCGGCAAGTGAGATAATTTTGGAAAGAAGGTCGTCGGGCAAATGGTTGATCGACATGGCTCGAGCCCTGTGGGCCATTGACGGGGAAAGCTTCTCACCCCGCGTTCCCGCTTCACGAGTTATAGACATTCTTAATGGATGCGAATGCGCCATTCTAGGTAGCGTTCAAATGAAGGCGCCGTGGAGAGCGGAGGATTTGTGAGGATTTGCTGAATGTCAGGTCGCAAGGTGAGACGAGAGAGCGGAAAGATAAGAAATTCGCTGGAAATGTTAGAATACCTCGATATTCAGTACAATCGCTGAACAAACGAGGCTTACATTCATAACCAGCCCATATAGCATTGTTATTTTAGCAGCCTTGCTGTTTATGACAGTGGCATGAGAGTGATTAAATGGGTTACTATATCCCCTAGTAAAGTTCTTACTTTAGAAAATGACCCCATTGTTTAATGAAAATTGATTCATTACTTTAGGATGGATTATCCAGGAAATATGCTACTCAGAAACTGTAGAGGTAATATAGGGTATGCTCGACACCAACCATTTTGGAAAAGCACTGGGTTGGAGAGAATTGCTCTAGACCCGTGTTTGGTGATTCGCCGTTGCCCACGTGGCCTCGAATCGCTCGCGTAGTCATTCAATTTAATGATAATTGCTCGAGTGGTCTTGCCAGAGGTTTCCTGCAGCATTTCTTTTACCCGGCACATTACCCCGGAAGGGTTTTTAGCCTCTAAATTCTTACATCGATCGTGTCTCTTCCCGCTAAATTCTGAACGCGGGCAAAACAAAACTAAAACCCACTCGGAAGGCATGCCATTCGGGAAGCATCAACCCTAAAATTTTAGGGTTGATGCCTCCCGAATGGCATGCCGTTCGCGACGGGTTTTAGTTTTTTCAGGGCTAAAAACCCTTCTCGGGTAATGTGTACGGTAAAAAAAGGCTGCGGGAATCCTCTGGCAAGGGCACTCGAGCAATTATCGTGCAGTTGTAGGACCACGCGAGCAAATTGAGGCCACGTGTGCAACGCCGAATCTTCAAACATGGGTTTGGAGCAATTCTCTCACTGGGTTGGCAGCCACGTGGCTTCCATTTATCGGCCCGCCGCCGCGCCATCGACCAGGAAAATGCTCGCACTTGCTGTTGACTGACAGCCACTGATAGGCGGACGACAATTTTAAGTGAGCCTCGATTGTGGTTGGTCAGATCACTCATGTGGTGGTGGTGCGTTGCGGTCTTTCGTTCGTTACTATCACATTCCGCCGAAGCATTACCCCCTCAACCCCCCTAGGGAATTGCTTTTCTTCCTGACGAAACCAAGCTGACGTGTGGAGGCAGTTGTCGCCAGAGTAAAGCCAGCAAACAACGGTTTAATCTGCCTCTTATTATCTCGGCGTCGCGCTTTTGCATGACACCCGAGATGCAATTGCGAAGGCGTGGGGAAAAGAGACAGTGCGGCTCGTTTTCATAGGTGGATCACGGAGGCGAGCGCTGGGTCACGCACGGCCCGTTTTTCCTCCTGTGATTGGTCGAACCAGGAAAAGTAAGGCGTGGATTTGCAAATTCGTGGGTTTAGGTGGAATTCACTTCTGAGGGTCGTTTGTCAGATTCGTGAAAAGCTTCCAGAGGAGCTGAGAGGATCTCCACGTCATTCAAGTATTAGAAATTTCCGGATTCAGAGGAGAATTGTACGCGAATGAGAGGATGATTACCTGAGCTAGATTTGCCGGTTCAGACACGCGTATTTTAGCTATTTCTTTTCTGGAAATGTGAGCCGAGAAGTATTTCTCAAAAAGCCTGTCAAGGTTCGTAGAGGGTTTTTAGGCGACTCGGCATCTTTAATATATTAGATTCCTTGTACCCCTGCGTTCCGCTTCTGCTTTCCTCATAGAATGCTTTCGTTTCTTCGCCGTTGGCGTTCTCGCTTCCTGCTACAGCGTCCTGATTCCATCGCTATTGTCACACCCGTTACCCGAATCCCACCATCAGATGGATTTCCTGAGAGCAGGAACGCACATGATGATGTCATCGTTCCTCTACACCATCTCCTCCGGCCCCACTTTCTCCTCAACCTGTGAGTTTCTCCGCTTCTAATTGTTTGTTTTCCCCTTCTATACAAATCCTCAATAAACGTCTACACAATCTCTTTTAGTCCCACTTTCTCGTCGAGCAGTGAGATCCTTCTGGATTATAATTATATGTGTCTAATGCTTTGGAAAGTTAGTAACGTCAACTGAGAAAACACGACCCCTACTCCCAAACCACTCGCGCTCCACTTTCTCCTTTTTCACTGATCCTAAGCTCCCTCTCTCCCTCCGTCACTCCCTCCCTGACTCCAGTTTGGCCGTCCTTCTGTGGTCCCCACGACCCCTACTCGCAGCACTGCCTCTCCACACCCCTCCTCTCCTCCTCCGCCCCTCCTCTCTCCTCCACCCCACCCAGCCTCCTCCTCCTCCCCTCCTCCCGCCACAACACTCTCTCCCAATTCTCCCCCGCTTCCCTCCCTAACATCACTCCCTCCATAGTCACATGGAACCAAATAGAGCGCCTAGCGACAGAGGAAACCAGCCCAGGGTACCTACCTCCGTGGCTGCTCTACCTCCCAGTCTCCCCGTGCCTGCAGCACGCGTCCTTCCTGCTCTTCTCAGCCTTCTTCATCATCTGCACCCTCTCTCACCTCCTCATCCTCCCCAAACCCCAACACGCACATTCCAGCCCCGCTTCCCCCTCCTCCTCTTCCGGTCCTTCCTCTTCCCCTTCTGTTCCTGGCCCTTCCTCTTCCTCCTCCGCCTCCCGTCCCTCTGCCCCGTCTGCTCCTGCCTCTCGCTCCTCCCGCCCCCCCGGGTCTGACGTTCAGGGTGCTCCTGACACAGCAGATACCGCAGGGGCAGAGACACACTGGAAAGCAGGACCGGGGTACTGGCTCTCTCTCTTCCTCTCCCTCCTCCTCTCAGTCTCCTGGGCGCTTCTCATCCTATCTGCCCTTCTCATCATGCTTGTCAATCCGGCTGGCAGCAAGCAGCACGGGGCGCATCCCCATGTGCTGGCGTATGCAGCTGGGCAGGTGGTAACCTGGTTACTGGCGCTACGGGTGTTACTGCTGTACGGCAAGAGAAGGGACCAGAGGCTCGTGGGTTCGGCTAGGGTTTGGCTGTTTGCGAATGCGGGTGCTGTGCTGTTACTCTCTGCTGGTGTGGTGTTACGGTTTGGTTCCCCTGGAGGGTTGAAGGCAGAATCAGGAGGGGCAGTAGGAGAAGGGGTTCTTGCTGGAAATAGCCGAGGGAATTTTGGGGTGTGGAGCGATTTTCTGACGCTGGTTACCCTTCCGGTGGCTCTCCTTTTCGGGGCGTTTGCAGTGAATGGACGGCCGGGATGGGCTCTTCCTCGTGCAGAATCTCAGCCATCGGATGTCGAAACTATAGAGGATGGGTTGCGCACTCCATTGCTGATTGGTGGAGGGGAAATCAGAGAAAGCCACGTGGCGGGGAAGGAGAAGAAGCAGCATCGGAAATCGAATCTCTCAAGACCGACAGGGAAGGAGTCAGGGGCAGAAGCAGGGCAGGGGGATAAGCGCCGTCGGTCACAGTTAGAACAGTTGCAGGATGAAGAGGAGGAGGAGGAGCAGGAGCAGAAGAAGCAGCAGCAGGAGCCTCCTATGACTCTCTACGCCTCTGCTGATTGGCTCTCAGCTCTCACATTCGGATGGGTCTCGCCGTTCCTGGAGGCAGGTGCGGAGAAGACCGTGGCTGTGGAGGACGTGCCGAGCCTACAGGCCTGCGACCGCGCCGAAGCTAACTTCCGAGCCTTTGACGCCAGCTGGGCAAGGCAGGTTGCTGAGGCTGAAGCTGCCGAAGCTGCAGCAGCAAGGGGCGGGGGAGCAGGTCTTATCCCTTTCTTTAGCGGCCCCTTTTCCCTTTCGCAGGCCTGTTCCTGTGAAAACCTCTGCACCGCACTCTATCGCTGCATCTCCGTCCTCTCATCCTGCCTTCACTCCCTCAAATCCTTCCTCACCTCACTCTACACCTCTCCGTACACCCAGCAAGAAGACAGCAAAGACTCGGCCACTGCAGAAAAAACCAAGGAAGACAAAGAAGAGGAGGGAGAGCAGACACAGCCCAAGGCAACGGTAACCCGAGCTCTCTGGGAGTGCTTCTGGAGGCCGCTGGTGCTGACAGGAGTGCTGGCGCTGGGTAAAACCAGTGTGATGTATGCAGGGCCGCTGCTGCTGGCGAGCTTTGTGCAGTTTGCGGCGGGGGAGAGGGCGTTTCCGGGGGAAGGGGTGGTGCTTGTGGTCGCGCTGTTCCTGTCCAAGGCGTCTGAAATTGTTCTGGAACACCAGTTTAACTTCCGATCCGAGGTGAGTGTGGGAGAGCATAGAGGGCACAGAAGGCAGAGAGGGCACAGAAGGCAGAGAGGGCACGGAAGGCAGAGAGGGCACAGAAGGCAGAGAGGGCACAGAAGGCAGAGAGGGCACAGAAGGCAGAGAGGGCACGGAAGGCAGAGAGGCACAGAAGGCAGAGAGGGCACGGAAGGCAGAGAGGGCACGGAAGGCAGAGAGGGCACGGGAGGCAGAGAGGGCACGGAAGGCAGAGAGGGCACGGAAGGCAGAGAGGGCACGGAAGGCAGAGAGGGCACGGAAGGCAGAGAGGGCACAGAAGGCAGAGAGGGCACAGAAGGCACAGAGGGCACGGAAGGCAGAGAGGGCACGGAAGGAATCAAACACATGAGCAGGCTCAGTCAGGCACGCTGTGGGTTCCTGTCCAAGGCGTCTGAGATCGTGCTGGAGCACCAGTTCAACTTCCGATCCGAGGTGAGGGAGTAGAAAAGATTCACTGGGAGTACACTTGAATTGAGCATTGAGCAGGCACATTCAGCTCCCAAGGGGAGCGGGTGGTGCTCGTGCTGGCTCTGTTCCTGTCCAAGGCGTCTGAGATCGTGCTGGAACATCAGTTCAACTTCAGATCCGAGGTGGGAATAGAAAACAATCACTGGGAGTACAAGGATTCACTGGGCGTACACATGACTTGAGCATTGAGCAGGCACACATGTTCACCCCCTAAGGGGAGGGGCTGGTGCTCGTGGTGGCGCTGTTCCTGTCCAAGGCGTCTGAGATCGTGCTGGAACACCAGTTCAACTTCAGATCCGAAGTGAGAGGAGGGAGCACAGAGCTTCCTGGGTTGGGCATCAAACCAGCACTGGTGGACGCACTCTAGGGGGCTGTTTTTGAGGCGCCTCAAAAGACGCACTCTATCGCAGGGGGCTGTGACTTCCTCTTGTTGCCAGCATCTCTAAACCCGAATCCCAAGCACCCCTCACCACACACACACACCCCAGGTGCTTGGGCTGGTGGGCGCGCTCTATCGAAAAGGGCAGGATTTTGAGTGTCAAGGCTGTGCTCACTCCCCCACCCCCACCCCATGCGCATGCACATTCCAGGTGCTCGGACTGGATATCAAGGCGGCTCTGGTGGGGGCTCTCTATCGCAAGGGGCTGCGGCTGTCCAGCAAGGCGAAGCAGAGACACACCATTGGGGAGATTGTGAACTACATGTCGACAGATGCGCAGGTGCGAAGAGGGGTGGAGAAGGGTAGAGAGGGGTGAAGAGGGGTGGAGAGGTGGTGAGGAGGGACGGAAGCGGCATTAGTGGGTGCGCTCTACTGGACGGGGCTGCGACTGTCCAGCAAGGCGAAGCAGAGACACACTATCGGGGAGATTGTGAACTACATGTCGACAGATGCTCAGGTGCGAACGGGTGGAGAGGGGTGGAGTGGGGTACAGAGGGGTGGAGAGGGGTGAGGAGGGATGGAAGTGGCATTTTTTGGGTGCACTCTACCGCAAGGGGCTGCGCCTGTACAGCAAGGCGAAGCAGAGGCACACCATTGGGGAGATTGTGAACTACATGTCGACAGATGCTCAGGTATGGAGGGGTGCAGAGGGGAGAGGAGGGATGGAGAGGGGTGGAGTGGAGTGAGAGGGATTGAGTGAGTTCGCAAGGCAAAGCGGAGGCACCCAATTGGGGAGATTGTCAATTGCATGTGCATATGACCTCATGTGGGAGTTGCACAGCATTTGTGTGCTGCCACGTCTATTAACCTCTTCCCTCTCCTTCCACTCTTTTTCCCTCACCCTCTGTCCCCCTCACAGCGCCTAGCGGACCTCATGCGGGAGTTGCAGAACACTTGTGTGCTGCCACGCCTAATAACCTCTTCCCTCTCACTTCCACTCTTCCTCTCCCTTCACTTTCTTCCCTCACCCTCTCTCCCCCTCACAGCGCCTAGCGGACCTCATGCGGGAGTTGCAGAACATTTGTGTGCTGCCACGCCTATTAACCTCTTCCCTCTCACTTCCACTCTTCCTCTCCCTTCACTTTCTTCCCTCACCCTCTCTCCCCCTCACAGCGCCTAGCGGACCTCATGTGGGAGCTGCACAACATCTGGGTGCTGCCACTACAGATCGTATGCGCCCTCGTCATTCTCTTCCACGTGAGTGCCATCGCCATTCTTTCCAGAATTTGACGTTTGAGCGATTTGAGTCGACTCAGAATACAACATCTGGGTGCTTCCGCTGCAGATCGTCTGCGCCCTTGTCATTCTCTTCCACGTGAGTGCTGCCAACCCCATCCTCTCAAGAGTGTTTGTCATCTGATAGAATCTGAGTCGACTCACAGCACAACATCTGGGTGCTGCCGCTGCAGATCGTATGCGCCCTCGTCATCCTTTTCCACGTGAGTGCCTGCACCTACTACTCTCTGTAACCAATGTGAGTCTACGTGAGTTTTATTGCCAATCTTGCGCTTGCATCTAACATCCACTGCTCCATCACCACCACCATGCAAACCAAACACGCCCCTCCTCTCTCTCCCCTCCCTCCCTCTCCACCGCCCTCCCCCCGCGCTACAGGTGATGGGAATATCCATGCTTAGTCATTCTCGCCAATCTCGCAGTGGCATCCCGCATTCATTGATTCATCACTGCTTCAAACACGCCCCTCCTCTCTCTCCCCTCGCTCCCTCTCCACCGCCCTCCCCTCGCGCTACAGGTGGTGGGATGGGAATATCCATGCTCAGTCATGCTCGCCAATCTCGCAGTGGCATCCCGCATTCATTGATTCATCACTGCTTCAAACACGCCCCTCCTCTCTCTCCCCTCGCTCCCTCTCCACCGCCCTCCCCCCGCGCTACAGGTGGTGGGATGGGAATATCCATGCTCAGTCATGCTCGCCAATCTCGCAGTGGCATCCCGCATTCATTGATTCATCACTGCTTCAAACACGCCCCTCCTCTCTCTCCCCTCGCTCCCTCCTCTCTCTCGCCTCCCTCCCTCCTCTCCTCTCCTCTCCCTCTCTGTCCGCTCTCCTTCTTTCCCTCCCTCCCGCCCTCCCTCAATCCCTGTTCACAGGTGGTGGGCATATCCATGCTCTCCGGCCTGGGAGTGATGCTGGCAGTCATGCTCGCCAACCTTCTAGTGGCATCCGGCATCCACCGATTCATCACAGCGAACATGGCAGCCAAAGACTCCCCTTCTCTCTCTCCCCGCCCTCCCTCCCTCCCCCGTCCCTGCAGGTGGTGGGCATATCCATGCTCTCCGGCCTGGGAGTGATGCTGGCAGTCATGCTCGCCAACCTTCTAGTAGCATCCGGCATCCACCGATTCATAACCGAAATCATGTCAGCCAAGGACGCGCGCATGAAGGCCACCTCGGAAGCCCTCTCCTCCATGAAGATCATCAAGCTCTACGCGTGGCAGCAGCACTTCCAGGAGAAAATCCAATCTCTCCGCGACTCCGAAGCCTCCTGGCTGGTCAAATTCATGGCCTACGCAGCAGTAAACATCTTCCTCCTCTGGCTCACCCCGCTCGCGGTCTCCGTGGCGACTTTCGGTACGATGGTGGCTCTCGGTGTGCCGCTTACCCCGGCGTCGGTTTTCACTGCGATTGCGACGTTTCGGATCCTGCAGGAGCCGCTGCGGTCGTTCCCGTCGGTGATCAGCGCGGTCACGCAGGCCATGGTGTCGCTGAAAAGGCTTTCGAGGTTTTTGTCGGATGAGGAGTTGCAGTGGGATGCGGTGGAGAGGGTGGAGAGAGGAGCGGGAGGAGGGAGGGGAGAGAAGGGAGAGAGGGATGGTGTGCTTGTGAATGGGGATGGGAGTGGAGGGGAAGTTGTAATCAGCCAGGAGCAGCAGGAAGGGGAGGGGAAGAGGGGGATGGAGAACGGGAAGGAGAAAGGGAAGGGGGAGCAAGAGGAGGGGACGAGGAAGAAGAAGGAAGGAGATGATGACGTGGTGGTGAGGATTGAGAATGGCACGTTCAGCTGGGATGCGGATCCAGAGAAGACCACGTTGACTGGCGTTGACCTGGAGATCAGGCGGGGCATGCGCGTGGCGGTGTGTGGGACGGTGGGCGCCGGCAAGTCGTCTCTGCTGTCCTGCATCCTGGGTGAAGTGCCCAAGCTGCAAGGGAAGGTGAGTTCGTGGATTTGGACCACTGCTTGGAAACTAGCAAGTGGCGTCCACACACACCTCCACGCCCTGGCAAATCCTCCCTGCTGTCCTGCATTTCTGTATTATGAAAGAGGTGCTGAAAGTGCAGGACAAGGTGACCTTGTTTGTCTCGGGTCCCACGGCCTACGTTCCCCAGTCCGCGTGGATTCAGAACGCCACCATCCGGGACAACATTCACCAGTGAATGCACACTCCTTCCCTACTCCCACTCTCCTCCCCTCTTTCTTCCCACCCTGTCTGGTGTTTATCTCGGGTCCCACGGCCTACGTGCCCCAGTCCGCGTGGATCCTGTCGAGGTGTGATGGCTTGTTCAAATCCCCCCCTTTCCCGTTCCGCCTATCTATCCCTCGCTCGCACATGTCAGGTGTGTGTATCAGGTCCCACGGCCTACGTGCCCCAGTCCGCGTGGATCCAAAACGCCACCATCCGGCACAACATTCTGTTCGGCCAACCCTTGGACCGAGCCCGCTACCACCACACGCTGCACCAGTGCTCGCTCCTCGCTGACCTGCGCCTGTTTCCTTTGGGGGCCGACACGCAGATCGGGGAGAGAGGGGTGAATCTGTCCGGTGGGCAGAAGCAGCGGATTCAGCTGGCGCGGGCGATGTATGCAGGGGTGGGGATGGGTGCGGAGGTGTATCTGCTGGACGATCCGTTCAGTGCTGTGGACGCGCATACCGGTTCAGAGCTTTTCATGGTGAGTGAGTGGATGGTCAGTCGGTGTGCTCCCTGCTCGCTGATCTCCGCCTCTTCCCCCTGGGGGCCGACATACAGATCGGGGAGCGAGGGGTGGTGAACTTTTACTTCTCTCCCCCACACGCTGCACCAGTGCTCCCTCCTCGCTGACCTGCGCCTCTTCCCCCTGGGGGCCGACACACAGATCGGGGAGAGAGGGGTGAATCTGTCCGGTGGGCAGAAGCAAAGGATCCAGCTGGCCAGGGCGATGTACGCAGGGGTGGGGATGGGTGCGGAGGTTTACCTGCTGGACGATCCGTTCAGTGCCGTGGACGCCCACACGGGACAGAACTGTTTATGGTGAGTGGGAGAGGGGTCAGTAGTTGGTGTGTTCCCGCTGGGGGCCGACACACAGATAGGGGTTCTCGGGGGTTCTGGGTGGTTCTGGGATGTTCTAGCGGTTGTGGGTTTCAGGCCTCTTTACCTGGTGGTTGAGTGGTCAGTTGGAGCTTCATCTCCCCTTACTCCCTTCGCTCATCCTTCCCTCCTCTGCCCCTCTTCCCCCCTCATCTATACCATTCTGTTGCAGGAGTACGTGCTCAAGGGCCTGGCGGGCAAGACAGTCATCCTGGTGACGCATCAAGTGGAGTTCCTTCCCGCTGCTGCCTGCCGCATTGCCCTCCTCCTTACTCCCTTCGCTCATCTGTTGCTCCTTCTTTCCCATCATCACCCTTTTTTCAGGAGTATGTGCTCAAGGGGCTGGCAGGGAAGACAGTCATCCTGGTGACGCACCAAGTGGAGTTCCTTCCCGCTGCTGACCTCATTCTGGTGAGATGCTGACATCATTATGATGAGATGCTGACCTCATCTCTGACAATTTGCTGACGTGCTGATGCGGTCTTGATGTGGTGCTGCTGTTGCAATTCATTCCGCGTCGAGTTGAGTCGAATTGAGTCGAGTTGGTGCGCAACGGTTCTAGTGTGGAAGCTTTTACAGACGCCTCTTTCTCACACCCTTAACTCAACCGCCTGTCACCCCTTCCCCCATTCACTCTTCTTAACCACCAGGTGTTGAAGGATGGGCGCATAGTGCAGTCGGGCCGCTACGACCAGCTGCTGGCAGAGGGCACGGACTCTGCCCTCGTGGAGGGGTGGATGGATGGGAGCACACACAAACGCACCTCTTTATCACTCGAACCCTTGTCCCTCTCCACCCCACCGATCCCTACCCTTCCCACATGAGCAGGTGATGAAGGAGGGGCGTATCGTGCAGTCAGGCCGCTACGACCAGCTGCTGGCAGAGGGCACGGACTTCAGTGCTCTCGTGGAGGGATGGAGGCACCGCTTTTACTCACTCACCCCCTGTCTCTCCCCCTCGTCTCTCCCTATCTCCCCCCCTCTCCCTCCCACCACCAGGTGATGAAGGAGGGGCGCATCGTGCAGTCGGGCCGCTACGACCAGCTGCTGGCAGAGGGAACGGACTTCAGTGCCCTCGTGGAAGCACACACTGATGCTCTGGAGAGTGTTGGAACTGCCACGGCTGCTGCTGCCACCACTGCTGCCGCTGCTGTTGCTGCTGCCGATGAAGCTGCAGCAGCTGCTGCGTCTTCCTCTGCTCCTCCTCCTGTCGATTCTGTGACCTCCGCTGCTCTTCCTGCTGAGGCTGCAGCTGCCGCTCCGCTCCTCCCCAAGCCACCTGCCGAACCTATCCATAGCAACCCGCACCTCTCGCAGCTTCGGAAAGAATCTGCACCGAACCTGCGAAAAAGCTCGGAACCGAACCTGCTGCGCAAAACCTCGCGCGCGCAGCTTCGGAAAATGTCCGACCCTATGCTGCTGCACACAGCATCCCCAGAATCCCACCAGATTCTAGAGAACATGGAAGTTGATGAGTCAGGTGGTGCTGCTGGTGGTGCCGCTGGTGCTGCTGGTGCTGCTAGGGGGGCTGCAGGGGAGGATGGGGATGGGCAGCTTATCAGTGAGGAAGAGCGGGAATCTGGGCGGGTTTCTTTGGCCATATACTGGCAGTACATGACGAAAGCGATGGGCGGCTGGCACGTGCCGCTGCTGCTGCTGGTCCAGCTGGCGTGGCAGGCGCTGCAGATCGGATCTGACCTGTGGCTGGCCACGTACAGCTCAGCAGGGACTGGGAACAGCTCAGCAGATGCAGGGTACACGTCAGCAGGAGCTGGGTATACGTCAGCTGGGGCTGAGTACAGCTCAGCAGGGGTCGAATTCAGCAACAGTATTCTAGCCAACCTCACCTCTCCATTCTCGTCTTCTCTCCCCGCAAATCTCTCCTCGTCCTCCTTCACCCCATCCTTTTCCTCCGCACTTTCCTCCTCCCTCTCCTCCTCTCTCTCCTCCCCCCTCGCATTCCTCACCCCCTCAGCCATCACCCCCTCCGCCTTCATGAAGCTATACTCGTTATTAGCTCTGGGCAGCGGCCTGTTTGTGCTGCTGCGAACAGCAGTCATATCATGGGCGGGTGTGATGACCACCCAGGCGTTCTTCCGAAGCATGCTGCAAACTGTATTCCGAGCGCCCATGTCGTTCTTCGACTCCACTCCCATCGGGCGAATCTTATCCCGGGTAAGAAGAACACATGAGCAGAGAGTGGGTGCGCTAATAGAGGTGCAGTCATATCGTGGGCGGGTGTGATGACCACCCAGGCGTTCTTCCGAAGCATGCTGCCGACCGTGTTCCGAGCGCCCATGTCCTTCTTTGACTCTACTCCTATTGGGCGAATCCTATCCCGGGTAAGAAAGACCCATGGAACACATCTCTCCAGTGAAAGCAAGGTACTGTCGCACTGGGCAGGGGTGATGACCACCCAGGCGTTCTTCCGAAGCATGCTGAAGACTGTGTTTCGCGCCCCTATGTCCTTCTTTGACTCCACTCCTATCGGGAGAATCTTATCCCGGGTAAGAACAACAAGGAAAGCAGAGAGATGGTGCCATAATAGAGGTACTGCAATACTAGAGTAGGGGGGGGGGAGTGATGACAACTCAGGCGTTTTTCCGAGGAATGCTACAGTCCGTTTTCCGAGCGCTGTTCCAGCTTCGCGGGATCCTCCTCACCACCTCTCTCCTCCTGCCCCTGCTCTCACCTTCTCTCCGCCCCTCTCCAGGCCTCCACAGACCAAAGAGCACTCGACTTGTTCCTCCCATTTCAGTTAGGTTCTCTCCTCGCCATGGTCTTCCAGCTCCTCGGGATCCTCTTCGTCAAATCCTTCCCCTTTTCCCCCTTGCCCATTTGCTTTCCCCCGTGTCCAGGCATCCACGGATCAGAGTGCTCTCGACCTTGATCTGCCGTTTCAGTTTGGTTCTCTCCTCGCAATGGTGTTCCAGCTGCTCGGCATTCTCTTAGTCACGTCCTTCCCCCTTTTCCCGCTCTGCCCATCCCCTTTGCCCCCTGTCCGTATGCAGGCCTCCACAGATCAAAGTGCTCTCGACTTGGACCTGCCATTTCAGTTCGGCTCGCTCCTCGCCATGGTGTTCCAGCTGCTCGGCATTCTCTTTGTCACATCCTACATCACATGGCCTGTGTTCTACGCCATTATCCCGTTGACTTACCTCTACTTCTCCTTCCAGGTGAGAGATACCCTCAGTAACACCTACCCCAGCTGAGAATCCACCACGTAGCCACAATTAGCACCTGCCCCTCATAGCCCTCACATCACCTCGTACATCACATGGCCCGTGTTCTACGCCATTATCCCATTGACATACCTCTACTTCTCCTTCCAGGTGAGAGAATTCGACTGCTAACACCCATAATACCTGGATCCCTCGCATCACCTTCAACATCACATGGCCTGTGTTCTACGCCATTATCCCTCTCTTACATACCTCTACTTCTCCTTCCCAGCGAGAGGCACCTGTAACACCCCGTATGTCGTATGCATGGAAGTTCAATCATCACAATCTTCGTTACCCTTAATCTATTGAGATGAATGAAAATTTCAAGTCATACCAAACGTTAACTCAGCTATGCTCAATAAGAAAAGAAATCCTCGTGTTTTAAAATCCTATCTATGCAGTCAGCATTGATCTAAAAATATTATATCTGTGTTATATATATACCTGTTCACTTAAAGATTCACTATCATGATATCGAGGGAGCTCTATCGTCTGAATGGAGTCACCAAGGCGCCCATTAACGAGCTTCCTATGAAGTGGAAATGTGTTAAGAGTACCATTTCCATGTTCAAATTTTCATCCCCCCCCCCTTTCTCTCAGGAGTACTATCTAATGACATCGAGGGAGCTCTCTCGTCTGAACGGGGTTACCAAGGCGCCCATCATTGAGCACTTCAGCGAGTAAGGACGAAAAGCCTCTTGGCTTGAACGGACTGGTGGAATATGCTTTGTGACGTTTCAGGTCAGAGCTGTTCTACACCCCAATCTTGAAGCAACTCTGTTTTTATTCGACCTAAAATTGGCTTGAAAGGTCTGGTGGCCCGTGTCTTGTGACCTTTCAGGTTCAACACTAGCTTGATGCATCTCGATCAACACTTGTTTTCAAAACTCTCAAAACTCTCATTGCTGTTGAGAGTTCCCAAAAGCAAACACTCTCTCTTCTCTCCTCCCCAGGTCACTATTTGCCAGATGACAACTGTCATCCCATCATTCGCCCAGCATTCCCCCTCCCTATCGCTCCCTCTTACTCTCCTCCCCCCACTCAGGTCCCTGTCAGGGTCAGCAGTGATTCGAGCATTCGCCCAGCAGCCCCGATTTGCTCAGAAGAGCGCCGAGAGGGTTGACACCAACAACCTCCTGATCCCAACACCCCACTTTCTCCCGTCTGTCCTCCTCTCTCCCTCTCAGGTCGCTGTTAGGGGCAGCAGTGATTCGAGCATTCGCCCAGCAGCCCCGATTTGCTCAGAAGAGCGCCGAGAGGGTTGACACCAACAACCTCCTGATCCCAACACCCCACTTTCTCCCGTCTGTCCTCCTCTCTCCCTCTCAGGTCGCTGTCAGGGGCAGCAGTGATTCGAGCATTCGCCCAGCAGCCCCGATTCGCTCAAAAGAGCGCAGAGAGGGTGGACACCAACAATCGAGTGGCATTTCATTACGGCGCATGCACCGTGTGGCTGGGCGTGCATCTGGAGCTGCTAGGGGCGCTGTTGCTGTGCTTCTCGGCTTTCATGCTCGTGTGGCTGCCTCCTTCAGTCATTTCCCCAGGTGAGCGCATACACAGAGATCGCTTTGGTACCAAGCAAGCAAGCAGCCAAACCAACAACTGAGTGGCCTTCAGATATGGCGCATGCACCGTGTGGTTGGGAGTTCACTTGGAGCTACTAGGGGCGCTGCTGCTGTGTTCCTCGGCGCTCATGCTCGTGTGGTTGCCTCCTTCGGTGATCTCGCCAGGTAAGCACAGACAATCCCTAGCATCCAGCCATTTTCCAGCAACATACAGTCCAACAACCGAGTGGCATTCCACTAGGGTGCATGCACCGTGTGGCTGGGGGTGCATTTGGAGTTACTGGGGGCGTTGCTGCTGTGCTTTTCGGCGCTCATGCTCGTGTGGTTGCCTCCTTCGGTGATCTCGCCAGGTAAGCACAGACAATCCCTAGCATCCAGCCATTTTCCAGCAACATACAGTCCAACAACCGAGTGCCCTTCCACTACGGTGCATGCACCGTGTGGCTGGGGGTGCATTTGGAGTTACTGGGGGCGTTGCTGCTGTGTGACTTTTGAGTCGACTCAAAAGTCACCTCCTTCCACTACGGTGCATGCACCGTATGGCTGGGGGTGCATTTGGAGTTACTGGGGGCGTTGCTGCTGTGATTTTCGGCCCTCATGCTCGTGTGGCTGCCCCCCTCAGACATTTCTCCAGGTAACAACACGCGCACACAGACCTGTTTGTCTCTCTCCAGCCTTTTCTAAGTGTGGTGGGTCTGGTGCGCCCTTGAGATTAGATGCTTCCACATACCTAACTCTCTTGCTTACCCCACACCCCCTCAGGTCTGGCGGGCATGTCTCTGTCGTACGGCCTGGCCCTCTCTCAAGGCCTATTCTACGTGGTGTGGGTCTGGTGCGCCCTTGAGATTAGATGCTTCCACATACCTAACTCTCTTGCTTACCCCACACCCCCTCAGGTCTGGCGGGCATGTCTCTGTCGTACGGCCTGGCCCTCTCTCAAGGCCTATTCTACGTGGTGTGGGTCTGGTGTGCGCTCTCCTTTATACCATATCCTCCTGTTTTCCCTTCCCTTCTCCCTTTTTACCAAACAGGTCTGGTGGGCATGTCGCTGTCCTACGGCCTGGCCCTTTCCCAAGGCCTCTTCTACGTGGTGTGGGTGTGGTGCGCGCTTGAGAACCAAATGGTCTCAGTCGAGTGAATCCTCCACTTCTCCCACCCCAACGTGCCCATGTCTCATGCCTTTCTCTTCTTGCCTCCCTTCCTCCTTTCCCCTCCCTTTTCCCCCTCACTAACATTATCTGTTCTCAAACAGGTTTAGCGGGCATGTCTTTGTCATATGGTCTCGCCCTCTCCCAAGGCCTCTTCTACGTGGTGTGGGTGTGGTGCGCGCTTGAGAACCAAATGGTCTCAGTCGAACGAATCCTCCAATTCTCCCACCCCAACGTGCCCATGTCTCATGCCTTTCTCTTCTTGCCTCCCTTCCTCCTTTTCCCTCCCTTTTCCCCCTCACTACCATTATCTGTTCTCAAACAGGTTTAGCGGGCATGTCTCTGTCCTATGGTCTCGCCCTCTCCCAAGGTCTATTCTACGTGGTGTGGGTGTGGTGCGCGCTTGAGAACCAGATGGTCTCCGTAGAGCGAATCCTCCAGTTCTCCCACCCCAACGTGCCCCCCGAAGCACCGCTCTCCATCCCTTCCCACCGCCCTTCCTCCTCCTGGCCCGACCACGGCGCAATCACCTTTGAAAACCTCCAAATCCGGTACCGACCAGACCTCCCATTGGTTCTCAAAGGCGTGAGCTTGCAGATCAATGGTGGGGAGAAGGTCGGGGTGGTCGGGAGGACGGGCAGCGGGAAATCAACGCTCGTCGTCGCTCTGTTTCGGCTCGTCGAGCCAACGGCAGGCCGGGTGGTGATCGATGGTGTGGATACAACCAGGATCGGGCTGACGGACCTGAGGAGCAGGCTCGCGATCATTCCTCAGGACCCGACCCTGTTTCAGGGCTCGGTTCGGATGAATGTGGATCCGGCTGGGGAGTATCGGGATGAGGAGATCTGGGAGGCGCTGGACAGGTGCCAACTGGGGGAGGTGGTTCGTGGCATGGAAGAAAAACTGGAAGCACAAGGTGAGGGTTGTAACAGTGTGGTTGGGGGGGGGAACAGAACAGTATAGGTGAATCCTGGTTATGGGAGGCGCTGGACAGGTGCCAACTGGGGGAGGTGGTTCGTGGCATGGAGGAGAAGCTGGAGGCGCAAGGTGAGAGGGGGAAGGATGACGTGCGGAATGGAGAAGCTGGGGGCAGGTGTTTTTTGTGGGGGAGCTGATTTGTGGCATGGAATAGAAGCGGGGGGTGCGAGGTGAGTGGGGAAGTGTGAAAGAGGTGAGTGGGGAAGTGAGTGGGGTCATTGTTCGAAAGAGGTTGTGGTGCTGCTCCGGTATTGTCCAAGAGGTGTTTGGTTTTTTAAGGCGCCCCAAAAATAGACAGGTATGGCCCGGTCAAAGGTTCACTACTCTTCAGGGAATCCCGCCGTCTTCCTCTTATGTCAGTCCTCCCACCAACCCCTCCTCTTCATACGTTTCCCCCTCTCCAGTGGTGGAAGGAGGGGAGAACTGGAGTGTGGGGCAAAGGCAGCTGTTCTGTCTCGGGAGGGCCTTGCTGAAGCGCACCCGCATTCTTGTGCTGGATGAGGCGACGGCGTCCGTTGATTCGGCGACCGACGCGGTGATCCAACGGACGATAAAGGAGTGCTTTGGCGACGCCACCATCATCAGCATCGCGCATCGGATTGCGACTGTGATCGACAGCAATAAAGTGGTCGTCATGGACCAAGGTGGGTGCTGTAGCTTCTTTATTATGTATTCCAGAGAGTATGATGAGGTGCTTAGAAGGTGTATAAGGTATTGTGCATCAGATTGCCGTGGTTATCACTTGCATAGTAGTGGTGGTCATGGAGCAAGTTGCAAGTACTCCAATGGCAAATCGAGCTAATGCAATGCGTTTGTATGGTTGTACGTGAATTCTACATGCCATTGGTGCATTCTCTTAACAGAGATGTTCATATGCTTATGTCTGCTTGTGTACTTCCTCCTTTGCCCCATGCAGGCACTGTAGCCGAGTGTGACGAGCCGGCTAAGCTCCTGGAGGATAAGACATCCATGTTCTCGCGTCTTGTAGCGGAGTACTCTGCTCGCTCCACCGACATGGCGGATGTTGCAAGGAGCATGTCCATAGATAACCTGGAAGCTGTTGGTAGAGAGTCATCGTCATGAGTCGTGACGTGTAAAGATGCCAGAGGTTGAAAACAATGCCAAGGCATACGTTTGAGAAAACTCTGTAACTACTTATTTCCGTTAAAACCAAGTGTATGTTATCTCGTTCTTGGGAGAACGTCTCAGGTGCCACGTGTTCTGCATCTTGCTGTGATATCATTAGGTTGTGGTAGTTGATAAGTGAAGATACTGCAAGTTTTTGAATGCAGTGAATGTACTGACGGATGGTCTTGCATCGAGTCACGACGCTGACGGAACAGAAACGCAATCCATTGGAGCAAGCCCCCGTGTCGAGCGTGTTAGTCACGTCATATGCAGCCAATTACGGCACACCGTGAGTCTCGGGTGACCCGACGGAGTGATGGTTCGACATCGCCGAGCCAATGACTCGGTCGCCGAAGCTTTCGCGAACTTCACAACCAGATGTCGCGCTCGTCGATATTTTCGAGAGAGATAGCAAGCCTATAATTGACCGTCCGATCTCACGCTCGACGGTCAATTGAGCGTCCCGCGAAGTTCGCCACACCAGACCTGCCTTCCGCTGCATGGCAGGGTGTAGGGCGAGAGGGCCTGTGTGGTGTGCATGTGGGCTATTCGAAGAGGGCGTGAATTTGGACGTTGAGCACGGCTGTGCGCGGTTTTGTGTGGGGCAGTAGGGTGAAGGACGATACAAACAACGCCTAACCAAAACAGCTCTCTGCTGAAAGCAGAAATTTATTCGAAACGCCTCCTATGTCACGCCTTGTCTCAAGCTAAGTGCTCCATGCCCTCTCAGCCTGCCCTGAAACAGCAGTCCCTGGTCATTTTGGACTGCCACGGCGTAGGTGGCTGAGTTAGAGCCGTGAGCGTAGTCTTCTTCATTAGCCGTGTTCTCAGCTTACCCGTGGAAGCCGCTGGTTGACGACTCTGATTTTCTTGCGGAGCGCCATGGGTGGAGGTGAGTTAACTACTATTGTGTCCATTCACTTCAGAGTTTCAGCGATGCGTATTACGAAGTTTAGATTAACCAAACTACGGAATAATTTAGCGTTGTTCTTGTCCTATTTGGTCCCATGCTGTGAATTGTATGTTCCTTATGTAGGTGTCCATTTCTAGCCTGTATATACTGTGCGTCATTTTCCAGACCCCCCTGTACGTTTGTAAAATCTTCTTCTATTTCTTCTTCCCTCGTTGTTTACTCCCAGGAAAATGGCCGCCGCGGGTGCGCGAGGGAGACGCGGAAGACGAGGGAGGCGTGGAGGCGTCTTGGGAATTGCTGCCGCTGTCGCCGTCAGGATCAGACAGTGAACACTCGGACACGGAGCGACTGGAAGACGAGGAAACAAAGCAGTTGAAGGGCGTGGACACGGAACAGTCAGAAAATAAGAATGCGGAGCGATTGGAGCACGGATTACGAGTGCTGGTTTCTGATGGAATCGAGATTTCAGGCGACGTATGTGCTCTCTGCGATAGTGTTGTTGCTGACGTCGACTCCCCGCCTGCTGACGGCGACTCCCTGCTTTCTGACGTTGAATCCCCACCTGCTGACGTTGAATTTCTTCCTACTGACGTCGGCTCGCATCCCGTGGATGTGGAGCGCCCTGGCGTGCCCGAGACTACGTCAGATGACGGCCACCTCACGCATCAGCAGCCAGCTGATCAGACGGCTGAGCTGACGGCCGAATTGACGGCTGACCGTCAGCAGCAGGTAGCTGAGGAGACGGCTGGAGAGGGGCTGGTGGCTGCTCCCGTAGCTTGTCCAGACGCCGTTGACGCCACCTCTCACGCTGCGAACGAGGGAGGGGACGGGAGCGAGGGGATTCTAAGCGAGGGTTGGAAGGATGACAAGAGTGAAGGAAGTGAGATACCGCAGGAGCAGGAGAAAACGAGGAGCGTTCTGCTGCTGGTCGAGGCTGATCTCTCCTCTGCCTCCGCCTCTGGTGCTGCTACCGCCTCTGGTGCTGCTACCGCCTCTGGTGCTGCTACCGCCTCTGGTGCTGCTACCGCCTCTGGTGCTGCTACCGCCTCTGGTGCTGCTGCTGCCTCTGGTGCTGCTGTCGCCTCTGCTACCGCCAGCAGCAACGATCAGGCGAAGCTGGCTCAGCGCCTGGCTGGCGCTCTGCTGCACAGCGCAGGTGCCACCCCCCCTTCTCCGGGAGGCACAGATGCATCGCCCCCAGGTGCCACCTCCCCCGCTCCTCTGCCACTCAGGCCGGCTGTAGGAGAAGGCTCTTTGGGGGGTTTGCCTGCCTTGGGGGAGTTGAGCTCATCTTTGTTGGTGGTGCCGTTTGCCCCAGCAGCAGCTGATTTTCTGCTGGCGGATATTCTCGCGTCTGGGCTCGAACCACTGCCTGCTGCCACTGCTGACGTGGACAATTTGAAGACTAGCAGCCAATCAGCGGATGCCACCTTAGCGGCAGGTGTCACCTCTTCTTCGTCTTTCAATCCAGTGCCACCAGTGCACGTGTCAGTGGCTGTGCTTGTGCTCTCTGCAACGGACCTGAACGAAGTCCGGCTATTGCTGTGTGAAAGGGAAGAGAAAAGGTGTGAGAAGGAGGAGGGGAAGGAGGTGGGGCGAGATTCTACTGCTGCTGCTGCTGCTGCTGCTGCTCTTGTGAAGCAGCTCCGGGAGCAGTACGATGTGCTTCGTCTCGCATTTAGATGTAAGCCCCTGAGTCTCAGGTTTGCTGGTTCTTTCTGTCGCTTTTTTTTTTTTTTTTTTTTTTTTTTTTTTTTTTTTTTTTTTATATATATATATATATTCTCCATCAACAGAGATCACCTCTTCTTACTGCTACTGTTCGCCTTCTCTCCTTCTGACCCTGTCCTTCCCTCCTATTCATACCTGCCCCTTTTTATTCTTGCAGACATCCAAGGCGCTCCGCCCATTGCTCTCCTTGACACCCACTGCCTCTCACCTGATACCTTCTCCCACTGCCGTTCCTTCCTCCTCTCCTCGCTGCACCTCCCCTCCTCGTGGCCCGTCTTGTCCATCCCCTCTCTGCTGAAACCACCTGGCGAGTTGGATTCACCTGCACCTGCCAATGCATCTGAGACCGAAGGATTGCCTGAGAAATCACCTGAGGAGGCATCGGCTGCGCAGGAATCACCTGAAGAATCACCTGACAGCAGCAACAGCAGCAGCGTAATCGAGGAATCAGCCCGCGTTCTCTGCCCCGCCTCTGTGGGAGCTTTGCTTTGCTCGGTGATGCACATATCTAGCCTCTCACTTGAGCTGAAGCAAGTGGGGATGAAGAATCAAGCAGGTGCGCAGGGAGTGGGGATGAATCGAGAAGGGGTGAGTGGAGCTGATGCAAGCAGGTCAACCGAGTCAACTCAGTCAACGCAGCCAGAGGAGTCCAACAAGTGGGCGGCGCTTTGGCACGCAGCAGATGCCCTCTCTTCCGGCCGGCTCTCCCACACCCTCACCACCGTCACCCCACACCTGCACCACCTGCACCAGATGTACCTCCCCTTCAAACCCCACCTCCACCAGTTCACCCTGCACCTCGACCGCCGATTCCCCTCCCTCCGCCCGCGCATCCGCTCCCTCTACCGCAACCCACGCAAGCTGGTGCTCCCGCTCTCCCTCCTCCTCCTCGCTCTCCTCCTCCTCTCGTTCCTCCTCTCGGGATTGATCTTTTTCATGCTTCGCTCCTGGGTGTACCACGGTGCACCACTGCCGTTCCCCTTCGACCTCCTGCTCTCGCCTGTTTTCGAAGTCGTTGCGGCTGTGTGCGGGTGTAATTCTCATGGGAGAAATCCTGCTGCTGGCGCCGCTGGTGCTGCTTCTGGTGCTGGTCATGGTGGCTGCAGCACGGGGCCTTATTTTGGGCCGTACAATAACGAGGACAAGGGAGGCTGGGGCAGCTTTTGGCCTTCATCCCACCATCACCACCGCCAGCACTATTACTATCGCACAAGGTGGGCTCCCGCACGGTAGCGAGTCAATTATCCGGGCCGTACGATAAGAGGATAGGGGAGTACGGGGCAGCTGGTGGGGGTACCTTCAGCACTAATACTATCGCACTAGGTGGGCACCAGCACGGTAGTGCCTTATGTCTCAAGACTTCAACATCTGAGCTGCATCGTAAGGAGGAAAGGGGAGGATGGGGGAGTTTGTTGGGTTATTGGCTCTTGTCTTCCCGTCACTAGCATTATCAGCACTCTTACTACTACCGCACAAGGTTTACTGCGGCAGGTAAGTGAAGTGAGGAAGGATTCACACAGCAACACTGTTATTACTATCCCACTGATCTGGAATTTGAGGGAACTTCTGTGGACTGTCCTGGCCTGTTGCCATGTTGAGGTGCTCTTTAGGATCACATGCATAATTGTATGTAGCAACACGTGTATAAAATGCTGTAAATAAGCTTGAAGGAGGCTGTGCTGGCACTCGGATTCAGCTGATATTGCAGGTTTGCTTAGGAGACCCTGTGCATGAGTCTGGTTGTTCACACACTCTTGTTGCTACTCAGAGCATCTGCTCTCATCGTGTCAACTGCTCCCATCCGAAAGCAACAATTTGAAGTGCTGTAACAACAGCACGACAAGCAAGTTCATTACTTAGAAATTTACTGAATGCTTCTACAAAGCGAAAATATTGTAATGCTCGCTACCAGCCTGCAGCAACAATTCCTAGTGCCCTGACAACAGCACGATAATCAAACTCATCAGGTCGCTTATTGAAAGCTTCTACATGGTGGTAGCGCGAGTCCTCCGTGTAAAAAGAGTGCAGATCTCTTAGAAGTGTCCGAGCCTGGAACAAGAAAACCAAGGGTTGCTGTCAAGCCTCTAGTAAATATGTATACATGTACACTAAATGCATGTGTGTGTGTGTGTGTGTGTGTGTGTGTGTGTGTGTGTGTGTGTGTGTGTGTGTGTTATATATATAACACCCCAGCGTATTCACCTCATCATCATTAAGCTTGCTCGGCAGATAGCTATGTGCACTTGCATACTGAGTCGACTCCACAGATAGCTTGTAACACCCTACACTATTCTCACCTCATCGCCATTAAGTGGGTCAGAATCTGCTCGGCAGAACCACGTCTCCCAGGACCAAAACCACCCCTTTCTCACTTACCTGCAATTCAACTACTGCTCCCTCCCGGACATTTTTTTAGGCACCTAAAAAGTGCTCCTAGTTCGTAGCATCCGACTGTGTTGCCTTCTCACCTCATCGTCATTCATCTTATTTGGAAGGACCACGTCTCCCCGAACCAGAACCACCCCTTTCTCAGCTGCTAGGTCGGGGTAGTGTGTGACTGTAAAGAACGGCGCTGCGGAGGGGCCTCGGACCTTGAAGTCCTCCAGGCCAGTAAAGAGGAGGTGGGGCATCTGAGCTGTGATTATAATAAGGGGGATAGGGATGAAGCGGATGAGAGTGATTAGAAATGACCATAGTGTGGGAGTGTGTGACTGTAAAGGAGGGTGCTGCAGAGGTGCCGCAAAGCTTTTAGTCCTCCAAAGCGGTGAATAAGAGGTGGGGCATCTGAGCGATGACTACAACGAGGGGAACGTGCGAGGGGCGGGGAACGAGTTGTGCTACTATACGGAGTGTGATTGTATAGGAGGGTAAAGTGCAGCGGAGGGGCTCACACTGTTCTTGTAACGAGAGGAACACACGGGAGAAGAGGGTAAGAGTTTTATGTGAATGTCACATGTGACTGTAGAAAGTTTAGGGCTAAGAAAAGGGGAATTCCAAAGAAATGAATGAGAGAAGCTACAGAGAGGCGAGGGAGGAGCGCGAGAGAAAAGAAAGGGATGAGGCAAGATGCAAACCGACATGTTGTGAAGGCCTGACTTTTGAGTCATTTCATAAGTCAGCTCATGTTGTGAGGGCCTCACCTTGTGCGAGCATGGTGACGAATCCCTTGCTTCTTGCCACTGGTAGCACAAACATGGGGCTGTGACAGTGGGGGGAGAGGACAGGGTGACGGGGTGGAGAGGGGAATGGGGAGGAGAGGGGAGTGGGGAGGAGAGGGGAGTGGGGAGGAGAGGGGAGTGGGGAGGAGAGGGGAGTGGGGAGGAGAGGGGAGTGGGGAGGAGAGGGGAGTGGGGAGGAGAGGGGAGTGGTGAGGCTCGAGTCCGACATGGTGTGATGGCAGTAACTTGTGCGAGCATGGTGACGAATCCCTTGCTTCTTGCCACTGGTAGCACGAACATAGGGCTGCGACAGTGGGGAAAGAAGAGAGCAGGATACGTGAGGAGGGGAAATGGAGTAGGGAATGGTATGGAGTAGGGGGAAAGATGGTGAGGAAAGATGGGAAGGCAGGGATAAGCTGATAGCATGGGCAACGTTCATGGGGGCATTAAGTCCTCGTTCTATAAAGAACACACATGTGCATACATACACGTGTACGTGCATGCACGCGCACTTCCCCGAATACCATCCCTTCCAACCTTCATTAGCCCACTCGCCCCTCGTTGACCCACTCGCCCCTCGTTGACCCACTCGCCCCTCGTTGACCCACTCGCCCCTCGTTGACCCACTCACCCCTCGTTGACCCACTCGCCCCTCGTTGACCCACTCGTCTTACCCTTTAGAACGGCCTCTGCACTCACCACACTTTTGCTCGGTGCTGCAACGCCTCGAAAGCAGCAGCGGAAATCACGGTGCTGACATGCGTGCGACCCAGGTGGTGCTGTTGGAGAAATGGAGTCATGAAAAAGGAAAATTGGGAAAAAGGGGAGAAAGGGATGATTAGACACAAGCCATTGCACAAAAGCGTGCGACCAAAATGGTGCTGGACGTTTTCAAGCCGACTCTGCATATAACGCGAATTCTTTACAGGCGATACTTATAACGAGTTCCGTGTGCGCCGTACGTTGTTCCACATGGCGGCGATCTCGTCGGCCTCGCATGCTCGCAGCGCGTCCACCGACATGATCTCCTCGAGGCGCTTCGGCTGCGGCATGGAGAACCCTGACGCGAACTGCGACCCGCGTGTCTGAGTCAACCGAGTCAACGGGCTCGACGAAGTCAACCGAGTCAACGGGCTCGTCCATGGAGACGGTAGGTTCGGGGCTACAGGTACCGGAGAAGCCAGTAAGGCGGACGAACACGCACGGTAAGTAGAAATCCGCCGTACGCCAGCCAGATCTGCAGCTGACGGCGCCATGCGAGACACGTCAGCCACCCGAGATGCATCGGCCACGTCAGCTAGATCTGCTGCTGATGGCGCCACGCGAGACACGTCAAACACGTCAGCCAAATCGGATGCTGACGGAGCAGTGCGAGGTATGATACTTGAACCTAACACCCGCCGAGCCGCGCGTGACGCGATCCGTGGTGCGATCATGGCGGCGGGCCAACGGGCGCGAACGTGCAGTGATGGTTTGGGTCAAAGCTGGGAGGTTCGGTGCTAGGCTTGGTGCTAGGCGGGCTTGGTGCCAGTATGTACCAGGCTCGGTTCTGAGCGTTTTGGCCGGGAATGCCTGCTGAATGACGCGTGGAAGTGCAGCAGAGTGACGACGCTTTGCACGCGATGCACTGGTGAGTTGCATCGCAGGGTACGTGTAAGGCGCATTGCGGTGAGTTGCAGCCTTTATGTCAGGCGTGGTGGGAGTTCGAAATAGACGGTAAAGAAGTTTGGAGTTCCGTCTGTACAGTTGGAACAATGTCTGAAATTTCTCTATAGTCGAATCCGCCTTCAAAAGGTGAATGTTGTGTCAGACGAACTTCCCGCGTCCGTTTTCCGCCACTCCACCGTTCCAAGCACTTTTGCTACACTTTGAATCTCGAGCGTGTTAAAAAATCTCAGGTACGAAATTTATTCCACCAGAACCACTCTCGTTTGGTGCGGATCCTTGGGAACCGAAAATGTTTACGCTTATTTCACTAGACACTTAGGGTGCGTTTCTATCCCGTGTCAGACACGAAGCCAGACACGAAGTTGAGGTTGGGAAGACCCAAAGGGACTCGGAATGCTGGCAAATTTAGGTTCGGAAGACACAAACCGAGTCACTTTGTGTCTTCCGAAGCTTTGACCTGATGTTTGACACGGGATAGAAACGCACCCTTACAGATCGAGAGTTCAGGGTCCGTCAACTGTATTCATAAACACGCTCCCAAGAACCTCGATGTTTCAAGAATCTAGGGACTTCCGAAACTGATGAGCCTAGATAGTAGAATTCGGTTTGGAAACTGATGAGTCTAGTGCTGTGACATCTGAGACTGTTTGATTGCTCCCATTGTTCCAGTGTTGCTCAGACGCTTATACGCTGACGTACTAGTGTCTTCGTCGCGACGACATCTAGAGACGAATTTTGGTATTGTCCAGGCCGGTTTGCTCGACATCCGCCGACGCGCTTCGGTAATCGACCGTTTGACCGTTCACTAGCAAGTGTAACGTTGTTAAATGCTCGTACTTCTTCACTAGACAGTCTTTGACCCCAGGATATCGAATCTTCGTAATCAACTTGCTTCTGACGACCAGGACACTCGTTCGCTGAGAAAACATAACCGTTATATACACCATTTCCACATACACGATCTCAACATACGGCGTACGTGCGTAGACCAGTTTCAAGTCGTACAGCAACTGTTCGTTATAAGCTGATCGCGCGAAGCAGCCAATATGGTGCTGATAGCTGCGGTTCGTGATTACGTCAACAAGATTCTCAACGACGTCAGCGGCCCTAAAGTCTTGATTCTCGACGCAGAAACGGTAGGTGATGTCTATCTGTGCTCCTTTGAGTCGGCTTCAATCGTCTTCACTTACGCGTCTGTCCGACTGCTGTGAAACCTTGAGCTCCGCCTTCATACTCGTCGCCTGATGGCTGTTTCTCACGCGTATCCCCGATATTGACAGCCTCCACATCTTTCCGCCTTCTGCCCTTCTTCTCTTCTTCTACCTCCCTTCCCCTCACTTCTCTCCCCTGGCCTCCCCACTCCCCTCCCCCTCCCTCGCCGCCTTCCCTTTCCCTTACACCTCTCACCTCCTTCCCCACACGCTTTCCGTACCCTCTCCACCCCCATCTCCACCTTCTCTCCTCCCCCCTTTTCCTATTTCCCCTTCACCATCCCCGTCCCCGTTTTTCCTGCAATCCTGACCGTCCATCTTCAGCTGCCTATAGTCAGCCTCGTTTTAACGCAATCCGAAATTCTCCACCGCGACGTGGTGCTTGTAGAGAAGGTTGACTCTAAAGGAGGAAGCAGCAGCGGCAGCGGCAGCGGCGGCAGCAGGAGCGAGACAGGGGGGAGCGGAGCGGAGCCTATGCCGCATCTTAAAGCCGTCTGCATCCTGAGGCCGACTGGGGAGAACGCGAACCACTTAAAGCGGCACTTGAGGAATCCCCGATTTGGGGAGTACCATCTGTGTGAGTATAGCGAGGGGTGAGCAGTGAGAGCGAGCAAGTGGGCTAAAAATGCAGTGGAGCAGAGCCTATGTCGCATCTTAAAGCCGTGTGCATCCTGAGGCCGACGGGGGAGAAAGCAAATCATTTAAAGATGCATCCTCCCTCTTTTCAATCACCAACGTCCGCGTTGTCATGAAAAAAAAACGGTTAAGCATTTTGATTCAACTCAGCTAAAT